CCATATTTATAGAAGTAAGATGATATACCGTCGGTACCGAAACCTTTTGAACTTTTGAGGGTTCTTATAGTTTGGTTAATGTCAGCGTAAGTGAATTGAACAGTGCTAATTTGGTTTGGTGTCAGTGGAGTTGGTGCCATTTTAGTAATAGGGTGTATATCGAGTAGCTGGACTGAGGGCTTAAGGTAGTTACCTGCAAACGTTTTGTTGAATAGTTCACATATGTCTGCAGAGTTAGTGCATAGCCTGCCTTTGTCTATGAGGAGAGAAATGCTGTGATTTTTGCGATTCATTCGCTTCCTTAAGATTTCTGTGAGTGCATACACTCTAGCAGGACTGGCTACTGCGATGCGTTCTTCCTTTCTCATACGGAAATCTTGAGCTTGTGTGATGGAGCTAAGGGTTTTAAGTATTAGACCTAGAGTGCCAAAGTCGTGGTGTTTGAAGTAACTTGTTGAGAGTTTCTTCAGTTTCTTACGATCCTTTGGTTTTATGAATGACTTTCTGTGTGGGGAAACCTTTAGTGTTTGGAGTGGAATGACAGCATCTAAGCATATGTTTGAGTTATGGTAGAAGATGGTTAGGGCTCTCGATAGGTCATCAGTAGTGAAGTATTCATCCCATTTGGAGGATCTTAGCATCGATTCAACTAAGGCCCAGTTTGCCTTACTATAGTTCCTATATATTACTTGTTGTGAAGTGGAGGTATGAGATGCATTGCTACTCAGCGGAATTGGCAGTGCACACATTACTGTTTTGTGGTCGCTCCCTGGGAACTCAGAACCTACTAGCGTTGAAAGGGGGCTTATATTGTGGCAGAAGATTAAGTCTAGTACGTTGTTACCTCTTGTGGGAGTAGTGACAGTTTGTTTCCAGCCAAGTATATCCAGTGTGTCTAAGAACTTATCAAATTTAGTTGGACCTGTGGGTATATCCCAGTTGATTTCAGGTAAGTTAAAGTCCCCACATAGGATCTTATGATCGTATTGTAAGTCGGTTAATTGCTCCAGAGTATTAATGAGTTGGGTCTCGTAATTACTAAAGGTGCCAGGTGCTCTGTAGGAGCATCCAATTAATGCTGTTACGTTATTTAAGTGTACATTAACCCATAGAGTCTCAGGCATGTTAAGTGTACTACTTTCTAGCTGTGATACAGTAAGTTCATTCAGAAAGTACATGAGACAACCCCCTCCCTTACCACCTTCCCTGTCACACCGAAAGTGTGTGTAGTTATCTAAGCTTATTTCATCATCCAGGATGTCCGAATGACACCAAGATTCAGTGATGACAATTACAGGGGGTTTGTATATTACTGTGAGTGCTCTGAGCATCGGCAATTTATTTAGAACAGATCTAGCATTTATGAGGATTACGTAAAGATGAGAGTTGAAGTAGCATTTGAAGTATTTAAGTTCGTTAGTCAGCCCCGAATATGGTTCAGCACCCAGTAGTTCTGCTGGACATGACGATCCTATGTTAAGAGGAGTTCCAGCATCATGCTCACCTATGTCTATCGAGTTGTTGTGTGCTGTTTTCGGTGGAGAATTAGGAGTTGGAGTACTGGATTTGCTATAGACTAAGGAACTTTTATTTTTAGTTAGGTTACAGAAGTGGGTAGGGTTCTTTATTTGGCCTATACTTGTGCAAGTGTCAAGTGTGTCCAATGGATACGGGTGCACTAGACCGTTCCTGTTTTCATGCAAGGAGGGAGCCAGCACTAGTGGTTTAGGAGTGTTAACATCCCTACCAGCTGTTTTTTCAACGCTGACAGGGACGCGGGGGATAAAAAATGATTGGATCCTTGTGATGACCATGGCTTATTATTCCACCTATTGTTTGATGCTAGTTGTGTCCTTGTGTGGGTTTCGTGTGTACTGCATTGTGGGTTAGTTCCCAGCAGACTTGTACCATATATCCGGTCGAAATTTGTTTGTGTGCCATACTCTGAAGACCCTGAGTTGTTGGTAGCCGAGTTCTGACTATTACCACTTGTACTATTTAGGGTGACATCGTTGTGACATTGGATATTAGTGTGTGCCACGGTGCGATTTAGCACGTTGTGAGTGCTAATACTATTAACCGTGGGGAGTGTGGGCTTATTTAAGCTGCCACTGTTTTTGTTGGTATGATTTAGGGGCATATTTTCCTTATCTTTACCAATGGAATTATAGCTAGGAGAGGACAAAGTCGAGTTTCGGGGGGTTTTAACTTTTTTTCTGGGGTTATTTAGTGGCATTTTAGATTCTGCGGTGATGGGTGGTATGGTTTTATTATTTATTTGGTTACAGTCTAGTGGCCTTTCGGCTGGTGTTGCACTCTGATGGGACATTTCTGTGTGTTTTGAGAGGGGTGATGCGGTGGGGTCTACTGTATCTTTCACAGGGTTGGGGATAATGGCTTGCTGCAATGTCCTATTACCTATTTCACAATTAGTCTTAGTGAGATAGTTGTGTGCGCGCCTTTCTATAACTGTTTTGTCCACCCCGACCTTTATATGTTTGTAGTTTCTGGCTTGCGATAGGGTGTGTTGGGAGTGAATGAATTTTCTGGTCTCTGCCGGTGTTTCGAACTGAAAACGAATAGGACAACACTTTTCATGTTGACTCTTCTTCAGCCTGTAGCACTTAGTCTTGGAGTTAGGCATTTTCGCTTCACTAAGTAAGATGCGCTGTACCTTTTTTAGTGCCTCATTGTCCGGAACGTTGTAGACAATAGCACTCAGTTTTGCGTCGAGTCGTTTTGTTACTTCTGTGGTAACAAAGTTAATGAGGTTATCTACCTTAGTTACCGATTCTGTGTCAAGCTTGTTAAGGTTTACCGTTTTCATGAGGATAGTTAGAGGTGTCAGTTCACAGACCTGCGATCTGATATCGCTGATCTGATCTGATAATTTGGATATCTCGGTATTGGTTTCGATGTTTCCAGCATTTACTGACTTGCTGTTTTTTATTTCCCTTAACTCAGCCTTAAGTTCTCCTATAGACAACTTTAGAAGTTCTATTTCTGAAGATAGTACTGAAAAAGAGCTTGATGGCTGGAGTTTCTCCATAAGCACATAAGGTGAAGGGAGGAGTTCTGTATGAGCAGAGGGTACCGAATTTTTAGGAGTAGTGCTAATACTGGCTGTCAGTACAGTTTTATTTTCAGTTTCAGCTCGACGCTTACGGCATACACGTGAGTTATGTGACTCACTATAGCCGTTTGTTGGGGGTGTGTTGCTTGATGTAGCAATCAAGGACGTTAAATTAGACACCAGTTTTACAGGGGATTGGGTTCGTTGCTTTTTACTTTGATTAACCATAACTATTAGAAATAAGAGTTAGTGGTTACAAGTATGGAAGTGGTATAGTACTTGTGCAAGTACTACAACAAGATAAATTTTATGTAACGAATCACGTAAAAATGTAACGCAAACGTTGAACGTACCGCGATACGGCCATCCATAACAGTCGATAGTGGCAAGTAATTCGTCAAAGCGTTGGGGGCCGGAACTACTTAACCAATTGACTTCTGGAAGATTGAAGTCACCCGCAATTAAGGGAGGGTGGCCATGCGCATATAGTGAAAGCTGCTATTAGTATTCTGTGGACAAGGTGAAATGTATAATTGATTTCACTAGTGTAGATAGACGTGTAAATAAGCAGAAGGGGACACTAGCTTAGGGGTGAAGATCCAAATATTTTGCCCCAAACACGGATAAAGATGTGAAGAAGTTCACCTAGGTGAAACCGAATACGAGCCTGAATGAATGATTCAACGTTGAAGACTACACCCGGAATCCAAGAAATAGCAAAAAATTCGGAGGCGCTTTACGATATTATTATTGTCATTATATCGCTTAACAAGCATATTGCCAAAGAGAATCTTCGAACAAATGAGAAATATTTCCTGCAGAGAGGAGATAAAGCTGTCTACGAAAATTTAATCGGGCGACAGCAACTCTGGGCAGATAACTGATGGCAAAGCCATTGCTACATAGCACAACCTTTATATTTGAGGATGTTCCAAATGGTAGTAAAAGTAACTCGGTGTTGTCATCACTCTAGCACACCTTATCAACAAACTGGAGTGTTAGTGGAAAATTTTAACCAGAACAAAGATGAGTGACAAAACAAAGGTAGGAAGTTTCAAAAATATTGCGTTGATCCACGAGAGGTGAAAGCATGAAGAAAAACTTCATCACTGTCAAACATATATTTTTGGATGGATTTCAGAGTCATTCATTTTGCATTAACGACAGCTTAGAAGCACCTGTCTTTTCTTATAAAATAAGAGTAGTACTTGGGCATTGAAGCAGAGTAAATTTCCATGTTAGTTAGTTTATATAAGAAGATGACAGATGGAAAAAGTCTAAAACTATCCGGAGATCACAGCAAAGGTCACCTTTATCATTTTACTCATCTCAACCCACATTATCTACACTACAACCTATTATTATTACTACTATTCTGCTTTTATGACTACACAGAATGACCCACGGGAGTTAGGTCAAACTCTATTCACGGCAGCAACACAGTCCTAACATACCGCATACTAAAAACCTCATCTTGACCGATCCCCGTACCACTCCTATTGGAGTCTACCAGAGCTAAAGCAGTCGAGTGGCGGGACTTACTACGCAGAAGCTCACCGAAGATCTGGAACCTCTATCTCACAATCAAGAAGGGAGCTCAACAAAATCACTGGTTTATACCAGCTCGTAATCAGGATATTGGATACTGGAAGAAGATAAAGGCTAACTACATCCTTTAGAGCACCAATTCTCTTAGCTAGGTGTAGGCTTCAGTGATTGACTCAACTCATACAGTGAATATGCATGCATGAACAACCGATAAAAGAGAAGCCGGAATGATTCTAAACCTCCTTGTTAGCGGGAAAGGATTCTAATATTTAAAGAAAAGCAATTATCTTCTCAAAATTTCCTCTCTTTGCAGCATAACCGATTAACTCTCAGCGAGTAGAAGAGAAGAAGAATAGGGAGACGAGGAAACGAATTAAATATGGTTTTACACTACAGGAAAACAAAAGTATGTCCGGTATTCTTTAAAATGTGATGATCATCGGTCACCATTTATTGTGCTGACGCGGTTTCTGTTGGACATTGACCATAGACTACCTCGTCCCGCTCATCTAACATTGATTAACTCTCCAAAGCTGCTGTGTGTCACATTCAACTCCCCGGAGCAGTTGTCCATATCACTTCAACGGTGGTATGAGACCAAGGGAAAAATTGGAGGACACATCCGATGCTGTGAAAGCAGACCCAGAAATGTAAGGAGGCAGCAAACTGAGGCCTTAATACGACCCCAAGCTTCGGTGACACTAGAGCGATGCAGCTCTGAGAATAATAGTCTGTGTCTCCCAAGTGTCCTGCCTAAATCCATTGAAAAAAACTACAACGGGCCGGTTCTATCGGAATTGGCCAACTAGTTCCAACATCAAGTCCCCCACCAGCAGACGGTTTCACGTCAACTACCCCACAACACTCTGAGGTTGTTAGACTCACTGTCAGTTGCCTATATAGCAATGTGAGGGGGCTGAGAGGGAAAGTAGGTGAACTCCGAAATCTCCAAGCACACCTTCAACTGAAAATAATCATTCTTACTGAAACGTGGCTAAACCCCACTATCGCCGACAATGAAATCAGTATAGGTGATATGGTACTGGTCAGGAGAGACAGGGATAATAAGGAAGGAGGGGGAGTTGCTATATACTTTGATAGGCAACTTAAATGTGTGCGCGCAACGGACCCACCACTTATCGAACTCCCAGACTCCATATGGTGTCATTTCACCGTAGGCCACACCAAGCACTTACTGGGTGGCATCTACCGATCTCCCACCTATGGGGCAGAGCACAATCAGCTACTGCTCAGCACTATCACAGGAATACGAGATTTGGGTTACGACCAAATCACCATAGCTGGAGATTTCAATGCTCCATCACTGAACCTTGGCTCCGGGTGTGCTAAGGGAAAATTTGGCCGAAACCTACTGCAAACTATTCGAAACACGGGACTGACTGAGAATGTTGGAGACGACACTAGGTGGGGCCCTAGTGGAAAGTCTTCAAAACTAGATTATATTCTAACTAGTGACCAGCTACTCGTCGAAAAGGTCCAGATCATGACTCCTCTGGGAAGCAGTGACCATGCAGTCATAGGTTTCGATCTTGTCCTCCGTGAGCGTTTGCAATGGGATGTTACGCGACCATGTCTGTGCTACAGCAAGGCTGACTATGCTGAAATGCGGAGGCTCTTGTCCGACGCAGACTGGCCCTTAGCATGGGACGACCTATCTGTGGATGAACACTGGGAAGTGGTAAAAAAGATTATCCATGCAGCAATCTCGAATACCGTCCCTTTAGTCACAACACAGCCTAAGAGAAAGACGTCATGGTTGAAGAGAGGCACGCAACGTATTCTGCAAGCAAAGCGGAGGGCTTGGTTTACGTGGCGTGTATCTAAGAGTCAGACCGACCATGATGCATACCTCGAACTCAGGAACCGGTGTAATGCAAGAGTTAGGAGGGACAGAAGGTCACTCCAGGCTAACCTTGCTAAAAAACTCCTATCAAACCCTAAAAACTTGTACCGATTCATGTCGGAAAGAAAACCGACAAACCAAGGGGCATGCGCCTTAGTAGGTCCAAACGGTCAATATCTCACTAGTCTGGAGATGGCTGAAACATTCAGTTCAGCCTTCGCTAAACAGCTAAACAGCAATGTGGATATTACAGTTACGGACCAAAATGGTGGCACCACTATTTCAGAGGAGGAAGACCTAGCGACTACTCCCCAAATAAACCCCGCAATAGTACTAAGGAAGCTACAGCGACTCATACCTGGGAAGTCCCCAGGTTGTGATGACATCAGGCCATCTGTTCTGAAACAGTGCGCGGAGGCTCTCTGTAGACCCCTGTGCGACTTGTTCCAACACTCAATGGATTCGGGGACCCTGCCAAGGGAGTGGAAAAGAGCCATCCTTTCTCCAATCTTCAAGGGTGGGGACAGGCAAAACGCTGCTAGCTATAGACCAGTAGCTCTACTCCCAGTGGTATCAAAAGTACTGGAAAGTATTATTGACGACCACATCAGGGAACATTTCGATAGGACTAATATACTGCATGAAGCCCAACATGGTTTCAGAAAAGGCAGATCCTGCGTCACTAACCTACTGTCAGCTTGGGACGACTGGACATCATGCTGGGACTTGAACGTACCAGTCCATGTGGTCTTCCTAGACTTTGAGAAGGCATTTGACACTGTTCACCATGACCTTCTCCTACATAAAATAAGACAGGCAGGCATAAGTGAGCCACTTCTGTCATGGTTGAAGGACTACCTAGCCGACAGGCAATTTTGCACTAAGGTTAACCGAGTCCGATCATCTTGGCACAGATCGTCATCAGGAGTGTCGCAGGGTTCTATCCTAGGACCACTGATGTTTTTGATTTTCATCAATGATCTACCACGCCGTCTGAGCTGCCCGACTCTCCTGTACGCTGACGACGTAAAAATATGGAGGGCGATAAAGTGTCCGGAGGACTCAGATAGGCTACAGGAAGACCTAAACCTTCTGGAAGACTGGGCGGTGGCCAGTGGCATGACTTTCAACTTGAAAAAGTGCAAAGTAGTGAAGTTGCGCACCTGTAGACTGCAGAATGCATGTTACACCCTGTGCAATGAAAGCTTGTCCTGCACAACGTCGGAACGCGACTTAGGTCTAGTTCTAACGGAAAAAATGGACACAAGCGTAAATTACACAGGGGATGTAGCGAGGGCATATGCGGTCATACACTTTACGCATAGACAGTTAGGTGCACTCACTCCTGAGCTCTTTCTAATGTTGTACAAAACATACGTCAGGCCACACCTTGAGGTGCATAATATTATTGCACCCCCAATGCTGAGAAGAGATGCCAACCTCTTGGAGAGAGTCCAACGACGGGCAACAAAAGGAGTGGTTGGTCTCCGAAACAAACCATATGATGAAAGGCTGAAGAAATTAGGCCTGTTCACACTTAGTTACCGTCGGCTTAGAGGGGATTTGATTACTGCCTACAAAATAAAAAATGACCAGAATCACCCAAACAAAGGTGTTCTGCCATTGAGTAGGTATAGGCTTCCACGTGGAAATCCCAGAAGGATAGCTCACCAGAGGGCAAGGACCCGGGTGCGCTCCCACTTCTTTTCACTGCGGGTTTGTCATCCCTGGAATTCCTTACCGGCAGATGTAGCTATGGCACCGTCTTTGGACGCCTTTAAGCGAAGGCTGGACAACCATGCAGCGATACAAGGACTGCATCCAAATGGCCTATCTCCTTAAAATCGCATTTACCAATCAGGGTAGATAATTAAACTCGTCATTTTACTTCTTTACATTCTCTCCCGTCTTACTCTCCTGACAACTTATTAATATTATAATTACTATTATTATTATTATTATTACTATTACTGATATATATATTATTCTTCAAACTTCATGAGCTGACTGTTGTTACGTTTCCTATTTTCGTTTCTGTCTCTTAGTCTGAATAGCTTCACTAATTATATCTATTATTATTATTATTACTATTATTATTATTATTACTATCTCTTTTCTCTTGTCGACAATACCGAAGGACTAACTGGCGAAAGGATCAACTCCAATCACAGTAGTAACAGTCTTAACATACCTCATACTACAAACCACATATAATTAATCCCAGCACTACTCCCTTTGGAGTCAACCAAAGCTACGACAGTCGAGTGGCGGGACAAGCTACGCAGAAGTTTACCGAAGATCAAGAACCTATACCTCACAATCAAGAAGCGAGCACAAAGAAATCAAATTGGTTTATACTAGCTCGTAAAAACGATATTGGATATTGGATATTAGACCTTGAATACCCCAAATAATTTGACTCTACTTAATGGACGTTCGGGATGTATTGTCATTTGCGGTACAATTTGCAATTTATTTTATTTATTCATTCAGTCACCAAGTCCTCAGCTAAGGCGATCTTTAAAGCCTCCTCCCCCACCGTCATTTCAAGATGAAGTGGAACCTAAACGACCTAAAACCAGCGTTGATAACAGTTCTACTTCATTTTCCGAAACGTCTTCTAATGCAGGAGATCTAGAAGGTACATTTTTCAAGCATCTGTCCGTATCAGTAATGAATTTCGTTTCATTTCTACTTTTCACTCACTTAAAGGAGTGAAAACTGGAGTTTTTCCTACACTTATTCCCCTTAATGAATCGTAATAAGGCTAAAACAACGCATTTTGCAGATGGTACCATCGTTTATTTCGTTATCCTCTTATCAGCTGTGCGTAGCCTAGAATTGCAAAGTTTCTATACAGAGCAACCTTAGCATGTCTGTAAACGTGACGTGATGTTAGTGTGCCGGTGACTCCTTTGATTGCACCATCTGCATAAACCGTTGATTTTGCTTTATTCAGAGTAAGAATCCTCGGTGTTAAAGGAACCCAAAATCTGCAAAGCCATGAAAATTCTGTTTGCGTTCGGTGCTGGAGTGATTCAGAAATAACCGAACATTTCTTGTCACTTAACGATTGGTCCCAAGTACTTTAGAAACCGCTGGTGCTTCGTAAAGTTAACGAAACAAACATTGATTAGTCATCAACAACCTACCGAAATTTGGGTAGGTCGAAAAATTATTACTAGTATATGGTATTGTAAGACTGTTTTTAGCTTCAGTGTGCCAAAATATATGAACAGTAATGTAGGTCTCGAATATGAGAATGTAGGAAAATTGTAATTCAGTTAGCTTAAATTAATATTTTCTACCAGCTATTTTGAGGGGCACTAAATCTGATCTTACTGCCTAGTTGAGCGAATTATTTCATAACCTTAGTCTTTTCATTGCCCATATGATGAGGCATTTAAGTTGTATTTGACTCGAAGTTTCCTAGTTCCCTAATACTGACACGACAATATCGAATAGAATTGATACTTGGTTCACTTGAAATATTGCGAAGAGTTAACCTTTCTGAAAGTTGTATTCTGAACAAAAGGGATTCAAACGAAAGATGTTTATTTTTTAAAATTTTGGATTATAGCTTGATTCCACGCCACATTTTTTGGTACAGGTATGGAATTTTCAGCATGTGATATCGATAGCCCAAGTTTTGCAGGCCGACCATAGATATCAAGTGTGCGTCGGCACGGGATCGAACATCATACCATGTGCATGGTCGGCGAGAGTCTTAACCACTGTGTCACCGACGCAGTGATTTAAGAGGTCACGAATTATAATTGTTTGCTGCTGTGTAACAGTAACTACCGTTGGTTTTCATTATATAGCAGTGTATTTTGGTTCTTTTATGTTGCTAGGACTTGTAGTGCTGGCACTTTCACTTATTTTGTAAGGCGTATCAACACTAGTGGGCTGATTGCTAACGAAGTCTCAGCATGTATACAGAAAGCCGAGTTAAGTTATCTTAGGCACAACCATGAGATCTGGCTGTTCATCAAAGGGCATGCATATTTTGATCAGTGCCATCTTTCTACTTCATGTCTGTGAGACATGGTCACTGAAGGTTAGAGACTAGCGGTTTTTGATAATTATTGTTGCCGTTCATTTTCATGTTGGGTAGGACAATATAGTCAGTGATAAATGAGGTTAGATGTAGTGTTATGTATCAAGGAAATTTCAGTCCATGAGGTTGTGAGTATGTATCATTTGAGATGGCTAGAGCATGCATTATGCTAACCAAACCTCATTTGACGCACGATGCTATTGATGATGTGACTAATCCTTTAAGGTCTTAGCCTTTTGGTTTGGGTTACAAGGAGGTATAACTGCCCAGCTGGATTTTCTGGGATGTTGTGAATTATTGATGGGTTCCAAATCGTTTGACTTGATGAGGGTGTATTCACACTTATTTTTCACATCCTGAGAATCACTGATCTTCATGTGTTTACTCTGCTGTGTGTATTAGCCGACTATTTTTCATTACATTCCTTCTTATTCGCTTTTGTGTTTTTTACCACATTGGGGTAACTTGATTTGTTACACTTTTGTGCTAAGTTCTATGTTAATTCACTAAGTCTCGAGTTACACAATTAGACATATGTAGTGTCTTCAACTTGTGACTTATGATTTCCAATAAAACTGTTTTGTCCTTCGTAGTTACTATTCCTTTGTCTCACACCTCAGTTTACTGTCTCTTTTATGCATTTCTTCTACTTTCTTCTTTTGCTTTGTGTGCTAAATGGAGTGTGGCGACTTGAACTGCCGCACATATGTGCAAAGTTCTATGTCAAAGGCAGACAGAGTGTCTTTAACTACGAAGATATTGAATACTGTCTGGTAAGTATGGCTGCACTATACTGATTCTCATTATGCCTTTCATTAAGTGACATTTTTTCAAGTGAAAAGAAAGAAAGAATTTTAACTGTATAAAATCTTAAGTTTGTCAAATGTTATCTGTGTAACAAACGTTTTTTACTACTTTTGATTTTATAGATGCTACGCTTCCATTAAGTGTATCAGATTCATTGGATCTTGAAATAAGTAACGAGCCTACAACTGTCGGAGCAAATGAAGTTACTGAGACTACCGTTCGTCGACTTACCGTACTTCTTGAGAAACGTGCTCTAACCAATCAAGAAGCACGAACTAAATTTCCTGATCAGCCAAAGCGTTTTATGCAGTCGGAAGTGGAACTTCAGGAAACACTTGAAGAAATGCAGGTTAGTCTCTTCTAACTGTAAGACGTAAATGATAGTGTTATGAATTCCTTTCCGAATGAAAATCCTTAGAATTTTGAATTAATTACTTGTATTGCCACAGAAATTGTATAGACTGCAGCTAAATGTCAGGTCTCATGTGTTTTATATACTGTAATGAATATCGTGGCGGAAGTATTTCATGTTCTCAAGGCAATTAGAAAATTGTGATTGAGTTGTTAGAAGAGCTTTGTTTACTTGTGACTACCGGCGTCCAACAGTCATATTTCTTGACCTAAAGGCAGCATTCGACTCTGTCGATCGAGAAGTTCTCTGGAGATGCTTGGCTGTAAAGGGAATCCCGAGAAAATATATTGCACTAATCAAGGCACTCTACTCCTACTCATACAGCCAGGTGAGGGCTTACAGCGAGTTGTCATCTGAACTGGTGACGACTAGTGTTGTCCGTCAAGGATGCCCATTATCCCCTTTTCTATTCAACTTCATCATAGATGTACTAATGGACTTAACCCTAAGTGACTTCAGCGACTCAGGGATTGACTTGCTACCAGGGAATAATCTCGTTGACTTGGAATATGCAGACGATATAGTCCTTCTAGGCGAAGACGCTGACGAAATGCAGAGTCTTCTAAACACCTTGAGCCGCAATCTACGAATGTTTGGCATGCGATTCGCTCCCGCCAAATGCAAGATGATGTTACAGGACTGGACTACATCGACGCCTAGTTTAAAAATAGGAAGTGAAGTGGTAGAGCACGTTGACCGCTTCACTTATTTGGGAAGTACCATCAGCCAATGCCAACGGGCTGATCTCTGACGAAATCTCAGCACGAATACAAGGGGCTCGTTTCGCATTTGTTAGTTTACGCCGACTCTGGCGTAGACGAGATGTTCGACTATCGACCAAAGGGCGGGTGTACTGCTCATCAGTCCGCTCCGTCCTCCTTTATGGTTGTGAGACCTGGCCACTGAGAGTGGAAGACATGAAAAGACTAGCTGTCTTTGATCATAGGTGCCTGCGTTCTATTTCCCGTGTAAAGTGGCACAATAAGGTGAGCAACATGGAGGTTAGGCGTAGAGTTCTAGGTAAACAGGGGAAATCAATCGACGAAGTCGTGAAGCTACAAAGACTGAGATGGTTAGGAGATGTGTTACGTATGCCAAGCCATCGCCTCCCTCGACGAGCAATGTTAGCGGATATAGGGTGAGGCTGGAAGAAAGCTAGCGGCGGTCAAACAAAAACTTGGCACCAGTCAATGAAATCCACAACAGTTGGTCTAAGCCACGTAGAAAGGTGTAGACTTCCAGGCTGGGGTCCTCGGGACGGTAAAAATCTATGGTTGGAAACAATTGGTGACATGGCTCAAAACCGTTCTCAGTGGCAAGCGCAGATGCATCCACTCCCTGTGACTTATGATCTTCAATGAAACTGTTTTGTATTTCTTTATTACTCCTTTGTCTCACACCTCTGCTCACTGTTTCTATTATGCTTTTCTTGTACTTTCTTCTCTTGCTTCGCGTGCTACACGGAATGTGGCGACTTGAACTGGTGCACATTTGTGCAAAGTTCTATGTCGAAAACAGACAGACAGACAGACTTGTGACTACTCAGCTTCTCCTTCTTTGTGTTGCTTTCCTGTGTGCACTGGAAGAATTCAATTCGAAAAAAATAGGGATCGTACCTGTTTATTACAGATAAGACCTTGTTGATCTTTGAGATGGAGTTGTGGTATGAAAAGGCTTTAATGTTTCATTGTAGTTAATTCACTAACCTCATATAATGTGACTTTTCTATTATCTGTGTGCGTATATGCTGCCTTATTAAGTGTGTGATGTTTTATTTTCGTAAATGGATTAACCTATGTTGTTGTCTGTCTTTATTTTTTACCTCTGCTACTTATTCCTTCATGTTCCAACTAGTTCATAAAGGCTTTTTAGACGTCATTAAAACCGGATTCATCCGGTAACATGAACGGCGATACTAAGAATCGTACATCAGAGTCATAATAAGGTGAGCAGTATTGAGGTAAGGCATCGAGTGCTAGATAAGGAGGAGTAATCAGTCGACGAGACTGTGAATTTATACCGATTGAGATGGTTAGGAAATGTGTTATGCATGCATGCTTCGTCATCGCCTTCCTCGACAGGCAATGTTAACTGATATAGGATCAGGTTGGAAAACAGTTAGTTATTGGTAGTCAAAGCAAAACATAACTTCATCAGTCAATGAAATCCACAACAGTTAGTCTAAGCCACATTGGGAGGTGTAGACTTCCTGAATGGGGTCCTTGGGACGGTAAAAACCATTGTATGGAAATAATTGGTGATATGGCTCAGAATCATTCTCAATGACTGTCGCAGATGCATCCACTCCTTGTGATTTATAATATCCGATAAAATTCCATTGTTCTTCCACATTACTATTCCTTTTACCTCATATCCTAGTTTATTATCTCTGTTTTGAATGTTTTTCTACTCTCTTCTCTTACTTTGTGTTCAACATAAATGGAGAGTAGCAACTTGAACTGATGCACATCTGTGCAAAGTTCTACGTTGAAATCAGTCAGTCAGATCGAGAATCACTGCCTAGAGACTGCGGCATGACTCAAAGCCATTGCCTACGGAACAGATGTACAGACCTTTTTCATTTTCCGAAGTCTTAAAATGTTCATTTAATTCTCCCACGTTCTTTTTCCTCTGTTGTGATTTCATGACGTTTTTTCTGTACTTTTATGTGCTTTCCCGAAGTGTGACAAATGGAGCTGTTGCATGTGTGTGGAAATTTGCGCATTGGTATGCATGCAAGTAAGTCAATAGAGTTACAATGCGGCACTGGTTTACTCAAGGAGGACAGTATAAATAATAAAGGTAGAAGCCTCGTCCATCAGGGAGGGAGCAGAAATATGTTACATACAGAGTCATTACCTGCTCTGACATCTTTATCTTTTTAATTGTAGGGTTCGTGCAATAGAAATCTGAGCTTAATTAAACCAGTACACTTCTATGAAGTCATCCACTATAGATGGTGTATGTTTCATATTTCTTTATTGATATCTATAAGTTGATATATAATAGATTAACCGACTTGGTGCACATCTAGGTTGCACTTCGTATGTATAAACTAAGTAAAATGAACCTGAAATCCGCGCTCCATTTTCAGTCGTGTCTGAACATCAGCTTCTGTAGCTTTAAATGCTGGTTTTTTATATTTTATTTTAATTATTATTATCATTCTTACTTATTTTACCTTACTTCGGCTATCTCCTACGGGAGGATGAGCCGGTTTCATGAACCATGAAGTTTCATGGGAATTGGGTACGAGTGATGTCCCCAGCATCACTCAACCTTTGTTTGAGAGTGCAGCTCTAGCCTTTACACAACCAAGTGTGACCTACAAGGCAGTAGGAGTGGAGTAGGGAGTCCACTATCCATTGGCAGCCGGTGATCGGAGTCCGGTTCATACGCCTTTTTGAATGGGGCCAGACATCCAGGGCATCCAATAAGCCCTTTGTCCATCATTCCCTTGGGTTCCGAGTGAAACATAAGAATTCAACAACGCATCTCTACTTTGTTGTATTTAGTGGTGTCATTTTCAGCTGGCTTTACGATTGCCCATCATCTCTCATCTCCTCGCACGATCTCCTTGATGTCACCCTCGCACTGACGACCCACTCGTCGCTTCCCATCGGGATTCTACTCGAGTGCCTAGCACGCAATGTCACGCAATGCATGCCAAATCCAGCTCTATTTTCTCTTGCATATTTCTTTAGCGATCGGCTCTTGCTTTTTCCTATAGTCTCTTGTTGCTAATTCTTCCTGGCCGGCCATCTGATCTTCAATATGGGGCCAGTGAAGACAGCTGCTGATATAAATCTGTAACTTGCTGGAACTCCTTTTCGCGACACGCAGTGCAAGTTTCTGACGCGTATATAAGCACTGACTGACTTCACATTTGTGTTGAAAATCGGAATCTCTTTGTTTATGCTGCGTGAGTGAGTGTACAAGATTTCCAAACTGATTTCAGGTTGATGAACGCGTATCTTGTCCTTCCGATTCTGGTTGGCTGGCTTTAACGTCTTCATCCGTCCCGACTGCCTGTGGTTAAAATGATGCTTCCTTGATAAGTGAAGGAAGTAACCTCTGTTAAATCTCTCCTGCTGATGGTGATTGGTGCTGTTTATTGTTGTTTTTGCTGTTTGTTGGTTATCTTCATCACCTCCGTCCTCTCTATGTTCGCCTAGAGTCTTATCATCTTCGCTGCCCGCTTCTTCAACCACTTTGTTGGTTTTCGCCTGCAATTCTTCGAGTTTGTGTGACATCAAACATATATCATCTGCGAAATCGAAATCTTCTAAAGTTTGGATTTTTATAATAATGATAATTTGCTTTATTCCCAAATAGTACTTATGTTACAGTGTGGAACTCTCAGCATTTGGTACCACAGTGCATCTAATTTACTCGACAAGAGCAAAAACCAAAAATAAAAAACTAATATTACAGGATTAATAATAGAAGCTTTCTTGTATCAGCAGTGACAATAAAGTCGAAAATGTACGAAAAGTGTAAAATTACAAAATAATTGAAGTCGTGTCACCATAGATCATAAATAGGAGAGAATAAAAGCCAATTATTTTGCTGATGACATAGTAAGTCATAGGTTTCGCGCTCAACAGTATTTCTATCACATAGAGGACTCTGGTCAGATATGGTATCGTTGAATTCCTGTACACTCCGTGTTCGCAATTATCCTCCGTATGCTCTTATAGCCTACTTTATCTTATTGTACTACTTGGTATGTTACAGTTTGAATAGATACACTGTTTCGCTAAGTCAGTCTGGTAGCCCGAACCGCATCTACACCAATTCTTGTCCAAAGAATCATTTGGCTTATCTACTTTCTTACGAGTTGATCACGGATTAATATCAGACAACCATTGAAAACCAGCACTGGAGTGCTGGACAGCTGCTGTTTCATCCTAGTTTGGGACTTATCTGTAGTACGCACCCGCCACCAGGGTTCCAACCCAGGGCCTTCCGGTTACAAGGCAAGCTGGCTCGTATACCATTCAGCCGCTGAGACCCGATTCTAACTTCTACCAAATCTAACCCTTACAAACCAAACTTTAGAAAATTAATCTGATGCTCGCTAGTGACTTGCTACAGGACTGAGTTTCCTGGAGTTCTAGTGAGAAGTCGTGACCAGTGATGTTCATCCAGATGTCACTTGTGAGGATGGTTGTCTTACCTACGACAATGGTTGGGGTTACGCTAAATCATGAATTGCTAGAAGTTAGAATTTGTGGACTAGCTATTGAATCGGGTCCCAGTGGCTGAGTGGTATACGAGCCAGCTTGCCTTGTAACCGGAAGGCCCTGGGTTGGAACCCTGGTGGTGGGTGCGTACTACAGATAAGTCCCAAACTAGGATGAAACAGCAGCTGTCCAGCACTCCAGTGCTGGTTTTAAATGGTTCTCTGATATTAATCTGTGATCAACTCGTAAAAACAAAACTAACCCTTACAAACCAAACTGTAGAAAATTATCTACTTTCTCCAGTTATAAATCACATCATTAAAGCTTTATTTTCATTCATTTTTAGATTCTTGCAGCAAATCCCGAATTATATCCAATCTTAGCAGAACAAACACGTCCTGTATCTTTATTACTGGGATTATTATCCCATGAAAATACAGATATAAGTTTGTCAGTCATTGATCTACTCCATGAATTACTTGAACCAACTTGTTTAAAAGAAGCTGGTCTGGGTAAAGTGAATACATTTTTAGAAGTTTTATTCTCTGGACAACTGATTCAATCCCTTATACAAAATATTACACGTTTAGATGAGACAAAAAAAGATGAAGCTGATGGTGTACACAAAACCCTCGGTGCGTTAACACATCTTTATTTGTTTTCTTTTATTATTTGTTACTATTTTTGCAAGTGCATTCTCACTGTATGTCTTAAACTGAATTCCCAAAATATGTCATTCATGTTCCCGATCATAATCTATACCTTATTCTATGTGATGATACTGTAATGACAGAAGATGAGAAACGTTGTGACAGACCCTTTACTAAGGAAAAACACATCATGCTGGTTTGCAGAAAGTTGATTGGTTTCCGGATTTCATCATAAGCTGACATCAGTTAGAGAACCATCGGAAAACCTGGGAGTACTGGATAGCCGTTTTGTCAGTCTAGTTTGGGACTCTTCAGCAGTAGGCACCCACCGGGGTCGAAACCCAAGACCTTCCTGTTACAAGGTGAGCTTGCAATCCATGAAGCCACTGGGACTCGATCCAATGGCCCATGAATTCCAGCTCCTGCCAATTAACGATGTAGCTCAATCACTAGCCAATTTCATCTACGAATGTTTGACCTCACACCCGACCTGCTATACCCCACTTGCCACGACTTCTCACCAGAACCCACGTGAATAGGTTCGCCAGTGAGCATCGTGAGTTGGCAGAAGTCGGAATTCATGAGTCATTCAATCAGTTCCCGGTGGCTTAATGGTCTACGAGCTTGCCCTGTAACCAGAAGGTCCTGTGTTTGAACCGCGGCGGTGGGTGCGTACTTCTGAAGAGTCCAAAACTAGGACGAAACAGCTGTCCAGTATCTTAGGTGGTTCTACACTAGTCCTCTAACCGGTATCAGTTCATGGTGAAATCCTGAGACAAGCCAACACTTGAAGATGAGTTTAGTTTATTTCACTGTATTTATTTTTGACGTTTTGTTTTTGTTTTGATTTTTTAAAAGGAATTATTGAAAGTTTACTAGAAATTCGTCCAGATATGAATGTTATTATGGCAAATCAAGGTCTGTTTGCTTGGCTTCTTCGACGTTTACAAAGACGTCCTATATTTGATAAGAATAAATTGTATGTCAGTGAATTACTCTCTATACTTCTTCAAATGGATGAAGCTAATCGTCGTCAACTTGGTGAAGTTGATGGAATTGATATCCTCCTGCAACAATTATCTGTTTATAAACGACATGATCCTAATAGTCGTGAAGAAATTGAATTAATGCTCAATCTGTTTGACTGCCTATGTAGTTCATTAATGTTAACTGAAAATAAAGATAGATTTTTAAAAGGTGAAGGTATACAACTAATGAATCTAATGCTTCGGTAAGTAGTTGTCTTAGTAGTAGTAATAGTAGTTAATCAATAAGTGTTTATCGTTTTCATGTTATTATTAATTTTGTTAAATATGCTGACGACCTGACTGTATCTTTGCCTGTCAAATGTCAAAGTGACTGCTCCAAACTAAATGGCTTTTTATCAGAAATTAACCAGTGGTCTGAGGAAGACGGTCTAACCTTAAATCCCTCTAAATGCCAAACAGTCAATTTCACTTACTTACTTTACTTTACTTCGGCTATTTCCTATGGGAGGATGAGCTGGCTTCATGAACATCTCGAATCATAGCTGCCCAGGCGCGGCGATCTGATGCAAGGTTTTGCGACAGGGTTATCCAATTCTTGTTCCACAGACGAAGTCCGTAGACGGTTTGTACCCCCAGGCACTCCATATCAGCCTTGACTGTACCAAGCCATGTTTTCAGCTATCCACGCCTGCGACATCGCCAAGATGGTAATGGTGAGGGATTTAGAACTGATTTGACCAGATCGTCATCTGGTCGGCGCAGAACATGGCCAAACCACCGACCATTGGTTTTTACCTTCCCGAGGACCCCAACCAGCCGGGAAGTCTACACCTTCCTACATGGCTTAGACTAACTGTTGTAGATTTCATTGACTGATGCCATGTTTTTGTTTGACCTCCACTAGCTCTTTTCCAGCCTGACCCTGTATCCGCTAACATTGCTCGTCGAGGAAGGCGATGACTAGGCATACGCAACACATGTCCTAACCATCTCAGTCTTTGTAGCTTCACGACTTCGTCGATTGATTTCCCCTGTTTACCTAGAACCCGACGCCTAACCTCCATGTTGCTCACCTTACTATGCCGCTTCACACGGGAGATAGAACGCAGGCACCTATGATCAAAGACAGCTAATCTTTTCATGTCTTCCACTCTCAGTGGCCAGGTCTCACAGCCATAAAGGAGGACGGAGCGGACTGATGAGCAGTACACCCGCCCTTTGGTCGATAGTCGAACATCTCGTCTACGCCAGAGACGGCGTAAACTGGGACATGCGAAACGAACCCCCTGTATCCGTGCTGAGATTTCGTCAGAGATCAAGCCGTTGGGGCCGATGGTACTTACCAAATAAGTGAAGCGGCCAACGTGCTCTACCGCTTCGTTCCCTATTTCTAATCTAGGAGTCGCTGCAGTCCAGTCTTGTAACATCATCTTGCATTTGGCGGGAGCGAATCTCATGCCAAACATTCGTAGATTGCTGCTCAAAGTGTTCAGAAGACTGTGCATTTGTCAGCGTCTTCGCCTAGAAGGACTATATCGTCTGCATATTCCAAGTCAACGAGATTATTCCCTGGTAGGAAGTCAATCCCTGAGTCGCTGAAATCACTTAGGGTTAAGTCCATTAGTACATCTATGATGAAGTTGAATAGAAAAGGGGATAATGGGCATCCTTGACGGACAACACTAGTCGTCACCAGTTCAGATGACAACTCGCTGTAAGCCCTCACCTGGCTGTATGAGTAGGAGTAGAGTGCCTTGATTAGTGCAATATATTTTCTCGGGATTCCCTTTACGGCCAAGCATCTCCAGAGAACTTCTCGATCGACAGAGTCGAATGCTGCCTTTAGGTCAAGAAATATAATGACTGTTGGACGCCGGTAGGAATGCCTATGTTCTAGAATCTGTCGGAGGGTGAAGATATGATCAATACACCCCCTTCCTGGTCTAAAGCCTGCCTGGCTTTCTCGTGTTTGTGCCTTCCGAGCATCACTTAGTCTACGCATTATTATTGAGCCTTGGACTTTAGATACTATATTAGTCAAGCTAATCCCTCTGTGATTATCACAGGAAGACTTGTCTCCCTTCTTGTATATAGGGATAATCAGTGACTTACACCAACCCGATGGGACTTCCTCTGATTCCCAGACGCTGCCTAGAGCCTCAGTTAATGCAGACAGTAAACTGTCTCCACCGTACTTAATACCTCTGGAGTCATTCCATCAGGTCCCGCCGCTTTGCCTAGTTTCAGATTGGTGATAGCTTTAGTAACCTCAGTTAGGGAAGGAGGACCTGTGTTTATATCCCATTCAGGTGTGTGCTGGATGGCGGGGAGGTTCAGTGTGGCTGTAGGCAGGTTAAATTGTTCCTCAAAGTGTTCTTTCCAACGTTCAAGGCGTCTGTCCTGAGAGCTAATTAAGGAGCCATTTTTCTCAGAAATAGTCTCACTTATGATTTGCCTTCTCCCCCCCGTTTCCCTGATGATTTTAAAGAGTTGCCTAGTGTTGCCTATCGCCGATGCTTTTTCCATCTCTTTCGCCTTTGTTACCCACCACTGTTCACGGTTTTTGCGGAGACTTTTCGTAAGTTTCCTTTTGTGTAGCTTTCGCTCCTCGTTGAATTCGGAGCTCGCCGGAATAAATCTTCTAGCATCTATCAGTTCGGATGAGGCGGTAGAGATCCAATGGTTTTTACTCACCTTTGGGTTTACCTTATTCACAGCTTTTACAGCTGTATCTATGGCTGACTGAAAAGTCTAATAACTGCTTCTTTCTGAACACATAAATCTGGTTTCAAGCGTTTGATAGAAATTGCTTCGGCAAACCTGAGGGGAATGGAGTTCCTTTGTCTATTGGTAATTTTAAAGGATTCCTCGATTTCCACCTCATGACCCGTGTCGAGGAGATGTCTGGTAATAGCGCTACTATAAGACGTAGGCTCTTCAATACATGTTCATAAAATCGGAGGTGTACCCTTCTTTCTGTTCTCCCAATCTTATTTGTGTATACAAATTTATGTGTATCTGCGGGAGCAGTTACATTGGGATTACGTAATCTTTGTCTTTAACCTCACCCTCCCCCCTTTATAATCTGTAATTTTGCTTGTCTCTTCTTTCTAAGATTTGAGTTGAACTCAGTACAATGTTAGCTAATTTATTAGTCACTCTGCATCTAATGCATATTTCGTCCTTATTACCTAACTCCTCTACCATTGTGTGCATACATTTATTTTGTTTAAACTTGAACCGCCTGTGTAAAAACTATATAAGCGAAATTTTCTCAGCACTGTTCATCACTAATTGTGGAACTCTCTGTCAACTGACGACATGTAAAATTTGCAAGTATGTTAAAACCGTTTCTGCACGTAAGCGTCATAATTTATTTAGGCTGTAAGCAGCAGCTGATGAGAAGTCAACGAAATAAACAAAGGATGGTACCATATTATTCTGCACAAACCACCACTGTTGTTCTTGCTTTATTCAAATTCATCAAGAGGAATAAATGCATGAAATTTCTTTAAAAAATTTCATTTAACATTAGCATAATATTTCATTTTGACAAGACTTTCTAATCATGTAAGCTTATCTCTTTTTATTCTAGTGAAAAGCACATGTCTCGTGATAGTGCTCTACGTGTTCTTGATTATGCTCTATGTCCTGTTAGTCCGACAGCTAGTCAAACCTCAAGTGAATTAGAACTACCACAAAAACCACACTCATCTGTTGATCCCGAAGCTGTTGTCGTTGCCAATTGTTCTAAATTTGTTGAAATTTTAGGTCTTCGAACCATTTTCCCACTATTTATGCATACTCCACGTGAACATGCATTACGTTCCACTTCGTCGAAATCTAAAACCAAGCCTAAAGTGATTAGTGGGCCTACTTCAGCTGAGATGGAAGAACATGTGATCAAGTAAGTTTATATCATGATTTAATTGTGAAGATTAATCTCGTACTGGTATTTTTCAAGAAAGTAATCGTTGGCTTAAGACGTAAATGTTTTTGAGGGTTTCTTCTGTTTTTACTTTAATTGGGGTGCTCGGGCTTGCATATTTCAATGACCCAACGAACTATATTGGCTGGAATAAATGTTCCTGCAGGTCCGACTACACCATAAAGACCACTTGAATAGCTGTTAAACTGAAAGCAGTTGCCGTAAGTGTAAGAAGTGTAACTCATTGGTACTATGGTGGAGGTATGAAGGGAAGTCGTACTGCAATGATTATAAGGTCAAATACGTTGGTTAGAATGGTGGAACGGGGTTAGTCAGGCTAGTGGAGAGTTGTCGTCTGAAGTTGTGACAACCAGTAGTTTCCGTCAGGGATGCCAACCGTCCCCATTTCTGTTTAATTTCATCATAAATGCACTAATGGACTTAACCCTAACTGACTTCAGCGACTCAGGGATTGGCTTATTACCATCAGGGAATAATCTCGTTGACTTAAAATATGCAGATGATATAGTCCTTCTCGGTGAAGACTCTGGTTGACGAAATTCAGAGTCTTCTGAATACGTTGAACAGGAATCTTCCAATGTTTGGCATGCGATTTTCTCCCTTCAAATGTAAAATGATCAGGCTACAGGACCAGACTACATTGACTCACTCCTAGCTTAAAGATACGGAGTGAAGTGGTAGAGCGTGTTGACCACTTCACTTATTTGGGCAGTTGCATAAGCCAGCCCCAATGGGTTTGTCGCTGACGAAATCTCAACGCGGATATATAAGGCTCGTTTGACCATTTGTCAACTTACGCCATCTCTGGCGTAGACGCGACATCTGGCTGTTGACCAAAGGGCATGTGTACTGTTCAGCATTTCGCTCCCACCTCCTCCTTTATGTCTTTGAGACATGGCGATTAAAAGGGGAAAATACGAAAAGGCCGGCCATACGTGTCTGCGTTCTATCTCCCGTGTTACGTGGGAGGTGTTGTAAAAAGGTGAGCAATATTGAGGGGAGACGTCGGTCGAGTGCTAGGTAGGTTGGAGGAGAAATCAATCGACGAGGCTGTGAAGTAACACCGATTGAGGTGGTTAGGACATGTGTTACGCATGCATCCTTAGTTACCGCCTTCCTCGACAGCTGACATAGGATGAGACAGGTTGGAAAAGAGTCAGCTAGTGGTGGTCAAAGCAAAACATGGCACCAGTCAGTGAAATTCACAACAGTTAGTTTAAGCCAGCTAGCCACGTAGGGAAATGTGGACTTTCTGACTGATAGGGACGGTAAACGCCAGTAGCTGGAGACAATCAGTGATATGGCTCAAAATTGTTCTCAATGGTGGAGATGCATTCACTCTTTGTGACTTATATATCATATCTTTGAATTCATATTTTATTTCTAAAAGGTACTTATCTGTCGTTGTAAAACAGCTTATTGCTCGTGTTATTTCCTTTCTTGTTTTGTGTTCTTCACAGCATTGTTTCCGCCCTACTCCGGCATTGTCCTGAAGCATTTAAATCTCGTGTGTTAGCCAAATTTGTAGAGAATGATCATGAAAAGGTGGACAGACTTATTGAACTGCACTTAAAGTATATTGATATCGTGAAAGAAACTGATAACAAAGTGGAAGCTATGCGAAAAGTAAATTTGTTTTTTTTGTTTCTTGTTTTTTTCACTCTTTTGATGTAGTTTTTTTTAACTTCATTATCACGATTTAAGTACAAAAAATACTCATTCTACATATAATGTATAAATATCAACCAAATTTGAAATAAATAATTCTAATATTGGTTTGTAGGGATTTGGATGATTGGTTACAGGATTTCATCATGAGCTGACATTGGTCAGAGAACCATTGGAAAACCTGGAAGTACCGAAAGCCGTTTCCTCCTAGTTTTGGGCTCCTCAGCAGTACGCACCCACCGGGGTTCGTGAATTGGCAGAAGTTAGAATTCATGGGCTATTGGATCGTGTCCAGTGGCCTAATGGTGTACGAGTTTGTCTTGTAACCAGAAGGTCCTGGGTTTGAACCCCGGTGGTTGAGTACTGCTGAGGAGTCCCGAACTAGGACGAAACGGCTGTCCGGTACTTCCAGGTTTTCCAATGGTTCTCTAACCAATGTCAGCTCATGATGAAATCCTGTAACCAAATAATTCTAACGTTTTGTTTAGCAAACTGATCCGAACCCTTTTTTAAGGAAATAATCCAAAAAGAGGATATCAAAGGAATACATAAAATGGGCACAAATTGTCTTTAAAATCTTTGTCTAATCATCAGAAACAAAGTCAATTAAGTTTGCATGATTTGTGGTCAAGATTCGATGACATAAGTTGATGACACAAATATTCGATCAAATCTTGATCACAGTGTTTGTATTGGGTACACTTACGCGACGTTCAACTCAATCTGGATTTCCGCGTTAATTGATTGTGGGGCTAGGTATACCGATCGTTCGACTCGAGTTTTTTCCAAGAGGGTGCAAGAACACTATCCTGCACGGGTACGAAGAGGTGGAAGTGGAGCAATAAGAAGCGTGATCATTGAACATCTGGTCGATAATGATCACCCTATCTCTATAGCCTCCACCTTTAAAGTCATCTACAGGGCAAAGAGTAACTTACCCAAATCCCTACGTACCCGACTCATCTGTATTGCTGAAACCATCTTTGGCTATCGAAACAGAAAAGCCAGATCTCTGTGTACAGAAAAAGTTTGTTCAACCCGCCCAACTTTCATGGTCTTAATCCCTCTATGCTAAAGTATCGTAAACCCCAATCATATTTTAGCTCTACCAATTTTTCGTTTTCTTTTCATTTTGTCTGTTCAATTTGTATTCTCTTCCTTATTACGTCACTTGATTGAATCGAAGTGTCCTGCCTCTGTTGACTTTGAAAATTTAACAGACACCTGTTGCACGAGAGGGTGGTGGCATTCTATAATATGTTTATTGGTGTGTTAAACATTCTATGTACTTTTAGAAACTATCTTTTAGTTATCGTAAGTTTTGTTTATTGATCAATACTTGCCATTTAGGCTATAATTTTTGATGTAGTTGTGTCTGTCCCCTGAGCTCAGAGAGCACAACCACATCAAAATCGTCCACCTGAGCTACAAATCTTCTGTATCATATCTAGGTTATAATTGTTACAGTTCTTTTATTATTCTCGTAGACCTGAACTCTGCTAACGGAGGCTTTATGTATCATTCTAAGCATAGATGGTTATTAGTTCTAATTTCTCATGAATTTAAGGTTACGGAATATACACATTGGATCATAGGAGTTATTAAAAAGACAATTGCAGCGAGAAAATTTTCCTTTCGACGAAGTCATCGACTAAGCTGTATATTCGTGTATTTATATCAAATGGATGGGAAATTCCAGAATAATTTTCGGTTTAGGGTCAAATTAATAAAAATTAAAATTAGGAATTGGAATGCCATAATAAACAGGGGGACGGATAAAACTCAAACAAAGTAGCATCATAATAACTAAGAAGATTGACATTGTGCAATTAGGGGTTAGAAATGTAGAAATAACAAAAATAGGCAAGATGTACGGATAATAAAACTAATGTGATGAATAATTGTTAATGCAATCAGGGATTAAATATGTAGAAATAGTAAAATGACAAAATAAACACGAAGTTCGGATATGAAAATATGGTGGTGTAAACAGGGATTAAGAAAAACTTAAAAAATAACATGAATAAACAGGAAGTTTAGATAAGAAAGGCAATGGGATGGTCATTACTAAAAGAATTACCTGTTTATGATGGCCATGACAGGAACAAGGGTTGGACGTATTTCTTTTGGATACAAAGTGTGGGTTTGGGCTTTTGGGATGGCTAATGCCTCGGCTATGCCCATAGGTCTTGATTTTACACTCTTTGTTAGGTTTGATCGAATCTTGTATATGATCTTGAAGGATCTTTCGAATGGCACTGAATGTCCTGAACTAACCAGATATTTCTCACTGAACTATATACACATTTACGTTCTTCTTTTACTAGCCAGGCTGGATAGTATACACGAGCGCATTCTGCAAGTTGGCGCATGGTACTGCCGATATACTCAGCTCCACACGAGCAGGTAAATTGGTACATCCACGTTGAAGTGGCCAAATGTGACGGCTTGTCTTTCGCGTTCTGGCTGAACAGTTTTTTTTGCAGGAAAACGTCAGTCGTAGGCTCGCGGCGAAGTATGTTTTCCTCAGCGATTTGGAGAGGCGTTTACAAAGGATTTCTGCTTTAATATCACCTTTGAATTCTAGATTAAGCAGAAGTCTTCGTAGATTTGAGATTCTTGTCTATGAACCTGGGCGGGAAACCGTTTTCCATCAAGGTTTTTCGGAGATTACGCAGTTCTTCTTCAATCACTTCCCCACTGCATATCTTCCGAATCCTCGAGGAAACAGCGTATATCAAGTTCCGCTTTCTGCTTAGAGGCACGAAGTTTTGAAAGTTGATAAATTGTCCATTCCATGTAGACTTTTTGTATATGGACCTCTTCAGAGAGTTGTTTTTTGGCGTTTCTTGTCAGATGGACGTCGAGGAAGTTGAACATTCCGTCGGATTCAGTCTCAAGTGTAAAGTCGATGTTTGAGTGGGCGTTATGGAAGATTTGAAGTTGGTTTTTTAAATCACAATTGTCATCACAAATAATGAAAGTTTCATGGATGTATCCCTTGTAGAGATGGAGGTCGTTAAGGTTAAATATGCAGTAAAACTATCAGAATTTAATGTGTATCTAGTTTTTTTCTAATAATTTCATTGTTATTATTATTTGCTTCAAATATCAATAATAATAGAACTATAAAAGATGGATTGGTTATACAGCTGATGAAATCGAGACTGAATTAATGCTAAAACGATTGGAAGGTGGACTGTTACCTTTGCAAGTTTTAGACGTGATAATTCTGGATGTCTGTGTAAATGGTGCATCAACGGTAAGTTCTTTTTTTGTTAAAAGAAATATTTCGTTGTATGATAAGAATTTCGGTGTATGTTGTGTTTGTGGTGTATATATTTGTCACAGATGAGACCACCGTTTCCGGTATTAAGGTAAGTAACACTTGACTGTCGTTTGTACCACTGTCGTAGAAACTGTAACGATCAAAATCGTCTCGTTGTGGTCTCTGAACGCAGGAAACCAATCCCTGTATCCTATTATATAGCTAACCAATAAATTCCTTGAAGACGTACAGTTACAAAACGCTCCAAAAACAGCAAAAGAGATGTTTATTATTCATCGACAGATTTGTAGCAACAGAAGACAAGGGTCAGGCAACAGATCGTTTATTGAGAAAATCAAGGGATATCAATAGATTTTTATGTACATTATTATTCGTGATTATTAGCAGAGAAGCAACGTCTTCTGATTTGTTGTTTTCTTACTGACAGTTATTCTGTACTGCTTGCAACCGTTTCTTAGAAAGTTAAGCCATATATCTACGAATCGTATTTGCACATGTTAAGTCTGCTGTGATTGGTTGGTGAGTTCCTCAAATTTAAGCCTTGTTATTGTTCTTTTTTTCATGACCCCGATTCGGGACGTAAACACTGACGTAACTTGTTGTTTACAATTTTGGCTTGCAGGCAGCTCTCACCGCAGATATATGTGGCTCTAAACAAACACTAATAACTTCAAAAACTAAAAATTACCTCAACGGTGCCGTTTAGGCAGCTATACAGATAAGGTAAACTTCCAAGCACAAAACAAGTACTATGGAACAATATAAATTAACCGAAATTCAAGTGTAAGAAATACGTGGGAATCAAGTGGAATATTCCAAAGGTGGCATCAAAAGCTCTGTCCACAAGAATCATACACCAACGCTTCCCACAAACAGTTCAAGGTCAGAATCTGGCCTCCATTCACTTAAACAAAGTCACACCGTAAAACAATACGTTTTCAGTGTATCGCACAATGACGAAGAGAAGCATTCAAATTACAGTTTAAACAGGAACAAAGACAAATAATGAGCATCAATACGTTAAACGCAAATTTAATTTAATTTTAGATTTTCCCGCCGATCGATTGAACCGAAGTGCTTGGTCTCAGGTCGACATGTCAGCTTCTTGTCCAGATGCTTCGACGATGTCTGGGCACTTAATTAGTATTTCATTTGTGGATGATGACTAGCAGTGGAATCCAGGATGCGCATTTCGTCCTGTTTGGGGCTCATCGGCTGGATGTACCTGCATTTCTCAGTGAGTGATGATGTTCCCATCGAGGCTCGAATCCAGTGCCCATAGTTTCAAACGCCAAAGAGTAATCCACTAGACCACTTGGGCCACGAAAGCCACCTCTTGTGCATCGGGTCGATTGATTGGACTGAAGTGCTCGGTCTCAGCTGACGAGTCCCAAATAGGACGAAATGCACATCCTGGATTCCACTGCTAGTCACTATTCACCAATTAAATGCTAGTTAAATGCAAATGTCTAAGTTATGATACATAGTCTAGGAGAAAAACGGAAAATAATTACCTAGTTAGTTGAAATGTCCAAATGAGTGTAAATATTGTGATTAGGTCGTTGAGGGAGGATTTTTAGAGACTGAAGGTATTGACGTTTACGGATGATACGAAGTATACTAACGCAAGATCTAATACCCACAACTTCTATAGTATTCTTTCCGCGTAGACCAAAGGCAAAGCAGAACACCAGAATTGACCGTCCCAGTTACGAGTTATATTTCGGGACCAAATCGGAGTGCGAGATGATTGCTTAACTAGTTAGGGATCGTGCAAAAACCAACAAACAAACGTGACACGATGACCTACCAAATGGCGTGGATACTTGACGAGGGGAAGCCTTCAGGTAAACAAGTTGACTGAAACAGTGACGGTCAGCATCCAATGTTCAATGATGAATACTGTAGCCAATAATTCTGGGGAATTACCTACCGCTACAGATTTTTCAAACGGTCATTCTGTTACACAGAGTCACAACATCTGTCCAACTATGGCTGCCGCCAATTTGCAATATTTCAGTATTCTAGTAATTTAGTCCACTCGGGTTAAACTGATTGAAATCCTCCCGCGCTTAATTTAGCATCAAAGTAGGCTGACGGAATTGCTTCAGAATTAACAAAGTTGGCTAAATACTAGAGATTGGAAAAACTGTCCTGGGTTGATTGGATATTAAAGTGTTAATCTGTGTGTCGGTAGCGCCAACCACATACGTGGTGCGGGTTCGATTTCTGCTGACGCACTTCTAAACACGGGACATACAAATAAGCTCACAAGAGATATAAAAAAAGGCAATTGCAGCAAAGAAAATTTTCTTTTCGATGAGGTCATCAACTAGACTGTACACATTTGTGTATTTACAATAAATGGGTGAGTAAATTACAGAACTACTTCCCGTCAAGGGTTAAATCAATAGAATTGTAAGCGTGGATTAAAATGTGATAATAAATAGGAAGATCGGATAAAAACTTAGTAGGATCATAAATACTGAGGAAAATGATTTTGTGTGCAATTAAGGATTAAAAATATAGTAATCACAAAATGGACAAGAAGTTTAGTGTAAAACCATAGTAGTGAAAATAGAGATTTAAAAACGTAAACATAACAGAAATAAAGAGGAAATTTGGATAAGAAAGGCAGTAGGATAATCGCTATTGAGAGAATTGACTTTTTATGATGGCCATAGGAGAGAAGTAACAGTTGGGTGTATTTATTTTGAATACATAGTGTAGACTTGGACTTTTGGATCGCTAGTGTCTCAGCTATATCTACATCCCTTGGTCTCACTGCCTTTGAGAAGTTTGATCAGATCTTGTATATGTCTTTGGAGGACTTTTCTAATGGAGGAGTTGGATGTCTGATTTCACCAGATGTTCTGTTACCAAACCATATACACATTTGCATTCTTTCTTTGCTACCCAGCTAGTCTGGACGGTGTTGCCGAAAGCGTTGGACAGACGACGCATAGTGCGACCAATGTATTTAGCTCTCCACAAAAGGCAGTGAATTGCTATGGGCGACAGCTTGTCTTTTACATACTGGTTGATGAGTTTCTTGCAAGAAAATGTCACTCGTGGACTGGTGGTGAAGTATGTTTTATTGAGAGATTTCGAAAGCTGTTTACAGAGAATTTCTACTTTAGTATCACTTTTAAATTTTGGATTAAACATCAGCATCTTTTTGGGAGTGATTTGGATCTACCTATTCAGAAGTTTTCTTTTCTGTCAGATACTTGTGTATAAATCTAGGCGGAAAAGCATTTTCCATCAAGATTCCTCGGAGACTTTGCATTTCTTCGTAAAAGGATTCCTCAGTAAATATATTTTCTGGAACGTCGAGGAAAGAGAATATATAAGGTTTCCCTTTCTGTTTAGAGAAAACACAACTCTGAAAACTGATAAATTGTTCATTCCTCAGGACTTCTAGCCTCACCTAATTTTCCTAACTGTTAGTTGGGCTCAGCAAAGAAGGAAAGCTGGTCGTAAATCTAGCAAAACCCTACCTGGTTAAAATAACACCCATTGCTATAGAAAAAAACACACCCAAAGCTTGTGAGGTCATATATACTCCCCAAAGAATTCATGGAATGCGAAATGCCGTAAAAATACCTTCACAAAGACAACTATTCCAGTAGGAGTTTACTGCTTGCTGGTGACTCATTTTAAGATAAACTTCGTGCATCAAAATCAGTGGAATTAAGGAAATTAGATGTTGAGTTAGCCAGCCGTACTAACCTTTTGTAGCTTTGACTATCGCTAATTAAGGTAGGATTAACAAAATAGCTTTGAAAAAATGAGGCAATAGCAGTTGTTAAAAATTGTCATTCATTTTAGTACTACAATAAATCTCATTTATTGTCTTAATGTTCTCTTATCTGGTCCTTGTATTCTTTTGTGAAGTTTGTGTTATTAATGATAACATGCTTAATAGTAGTAGTAGTAATAGTAACGATAATGATAATAATACGAAGAGTGATGTCTGTGCCTCCAAAGCCTCAGGATGGTCGGGGGTGGGTGCCTTGCGCTGCGGGTTGGCCACCCCTCCGTACACCTCTTGAAATGCTCCCATATGACCGGGCGTCTTACATAGCCTCTCCTGAGGAAGTCCTACTTGCTGCCTTCACGTGGCGGTGTTTATTTCACCGAAGTGAGAGGGCAAAAGCGGATGCCCGGCGCTCTTCACCGGGTTGACTGTCCATTGGATGACATTCTAGGGGAGACGGCTAAACCCTGATTCCAAACCTCCAACGACTGGCGTATGAAGCTCACCGGAGCTCACCGGCAGACGTATGGACAAAGGGCTTATTGGATGCCCTGGATGTCTGGCCCCATTCAAAAAGGCGTATGAACCGGACTCCGGTCACCGGCTGCCAATGGATAGTGGACTCCCTACTCCACTCCTACTGCCTTGTAGGTCACACTTGGTTGTGTAAAGGCTAGAGCTGCACTCTCAAACAAAGGTTGAGTGATGCTGGGGACACCACTCGTACCTAATTCCCATGAAACTTCATCAACTCTCTTACAAACATTCGAGATGTTCATGAAGCCGGTTCATCCTCCCGTAGGATATAGCCGAAGTAAAGAAAGAAGAAGTGATGTCTGTACAAGTTCACTTAGCCGGAACTGATATTTCACACAGTGAAGTGATAGATCACAGTGTGTGGAAACCTAAGATACCAAATTGTTTAAAGCGACTAGTCGCTTTTATTAATTTGGATAGTATTATTAGATGACGGAGATTATCTGGAACATGTGATGTATTTGCGCTATGCATTTCGAACAATTTGATCCCTCACACATTTACTTGTCAAGTCGATATATATGAAAAAACTAAGGGGAATTAAATTAAACAAAGTGACCAAAAAAGATTTAAGAATGATTAACACAACGTTTGGTAACCTCTACCTTGGTAATCCTTATTTGATTTGATCAGATTGTTCGAAATGCATAGCGCAAATACATCACATTTCCGAGATAATCTTCGTCTTCTAGTAACACTATCCAAATACTAAATTGTAATAAAAATTCCTCCTGTAAGATAATTTTAGAACACGATTTAACTATTTTGACTCGGGCTTGAATTGAAGGCCATGGGAGAGAGATGGGATTGAAAAAGCTTTTCTGAACACAAAGGTTAGGCTTGAAATCTTTTATGGTGACTGCCTCAGTTTTGCTTAGTTCCCGAAGGTGTATCAATCTAAGGAATTGAGGTAGCACCTTGTATAGAATAAATAGTAAAGGTGGAATTTTTTTATCAATCTTGTGTTCCGTATCCATAAAGTGTGCTTATATAGAACCCCTGACTAACTTTTATGACTTCTTTACCTAATCACGTTGGAGTAATGCTGAAGAAGGCGACAATGGGCTTTCCGAGTCGTTTTACCTCAGTAGCTGTCTTCATATGAACAGCTAAATTCGTAGATGCACATTAAGTTGGCCAGACTTGGAAGCGTATCCCTCACCTGCATTGAAATTATACAACGAATGGTGAATTTGGAACATAGTGTTGTGGCAAAAAAATGTTTTAGTTATTATTCTGTAGAAGTTCGATGTCAGTAATTCAATGGCTGCGTCTCCTTTGAATGATAAATTCATATATATATATATATATATATATATATATATATATATATACATTTCTTCTGCACAGTTGGCAAGTATTCCTCTCTGTGTGTTCTTATCGTGGATACTGTAACAAATACTTCTGGACATCCGTTCTCATATTATACGTTTTCTATATTCCTTATTTCGTCTTCAAAATTATCGGTTGTGCGGATTTTTCTAGCGCAAAATATCAGGGTACTGATGGCATTTCGTTTTATGTGCAAGAGGAACTAGTGACTTGAAATGGGTGTATTCGACAACCCATAATCTTTCCGGGAAAATACCCAGCCTAACTTATTTACATATCTAAATGGTCTTCTATACAAGATGATTTCACAGGCAGGAGTTGGTGGAGCACATTTTGATGGTGAAGAAGTACTTACTGAATGTCAAATTACCTTCAACTAATAATGGCGCTAAATGTACTGACCGAAACATGGTGGTACCTTTAGTTCCAAAATCATTAAGAAATTACATTTCTATTTCATGCTTAATCATTAACCACTTATTGGAATACAAGTTATCGTTACTTCTCTGAAGATGTTACTCAATATATTACTTATAGCTACATATAAGTAGTTCATTGTACAGTGGTATTATTGAGTGTATTTGTTCTGTTGTGTTTTCCCGTACAACTTACAAGTTGGATTTACCCTATACTTGGATATTGTTCTCCTCTTTCGTAAAGTTCAAAGTGTCTTCCATATTCCATACATTTATTTGATATAACATGCAGTGAGTGACACTGAGTACAATTTATTCACACAGTTTCATAATTCGCCTTATGATATTTGGTATCGACTGTTGATTCGATGGAAAAAGATTCTGTGACTAGCCTCTCACCCTCTCCCTCTTCACCCAACTAAATTACTTTTTAATACTTTCACCCTATTCCACCCTTGGCTTGTGGCTTATATTACTGAAAAGATTTGTCAGTAGTATATATAGGTAAAGAGATGTTCATCGGCATAAAACACACATCAAACATCAGGGAGATACATTCAATGTCAGAGAAAGCAAATGACACTGGGTTGTAGAGATACATAAGAGACGTGAAAGGAATACGAATGAAGGGCAGAAGTCCCACAGCACGGAAGATCTGTACAAATGGTGCGTGCGTTGAAGATAAGTTGTACATAATTTTGCTGTATAGAGATACCAAATTCTAAATAAACGTTCCTTTGCCATGTCTCTCTTCTTCTACCGTTACAAGCCGAGATTTTCTCTAGATTATTTGCCTTAGCAGGATCAATCATCGTCTCACCTGTATGTTCCAATAGTACTGTTGACCCGATCTACTAGTTGGATCAAAATAATTGACCTCACAGTCATTACATGATATTTGGCAAATCATGTTATTTTTCTTAATTGGATCTATTGGGAGGGTCCTTAAACCGACAAAGTTGATCTCTAAATGGGAGTCGGTTAGCTTAAATGCTACCCTGATTCCAGCCTTATTGAGAATCCTACTTTGGGCCGCTGCTGATATTCCATCCCTTACTTTTCAATGTTTCTTCATTATTGAACTAAGTGTGCTGTAAATGTATTTCATTGAACAAACGTTTATAAGAACAACAAATATATATATATATATACGTTTGTCTTATTTTATTCATCAATTTTACAGGTTTTAGAACGAGTACTCCACTTGTTACGGATGCGATCCATATCAATGAATTCAATATTGAATACAGTTCAAGGTTTGTTGTTGTTGTCGTTGTTTTTTTGTTTGTTTGTTTAACATAATGTGTACTTTGTGCTAATTTTTTTCCTTACAGGCTCCTTTGCACAATTCATAGGTGAATTGATTATTTTGAACTAGGTTATTGTGATCACAAAAAATTAGTACCATCCTATGATATCTATTTTAAATCGAAAACTGTAATATCTGAATAAGGCCAGAATAAGAGTTTGTGGAGAATAAGACGACAGTACCATCATTCCTTATTTTGCTGACTTGTGTGTACACAGTCTGAATAAATGGATAAAGTTTACGTATAGAACAATTTCAACCTATTTGCAATTTTCTATAGTTTGGTTTGTAAGGGTTAGTTTTGCTTTTACGAGTTGATCACAGATTGATATCAGTTAGAGAACCATTGAAAACCAGCACCGGAGTACGGGACAGCTGTTTCATCAGCTTAGTTTGGGAATCATCGCCACTGCGCACCCACTGCCACGGTTCGAACCCGGCACCTTCCGGTTATAAGGCAAGCTGGCTCGTATACCATTCAGCCACTGGGACCCGATTCAATGGCTCATGGTTGGGTGGCTCTAAGTTGGTAGAAGTTAGGATTCATGAACCATTGAATCGAGTCCCAGTGGCTTAATGGTATATACCAGCTAGCTTGCCTTGTAACCAGAAGGTCCTGGGTTCGAACCCCAATGAGTGCGCACTGCAGATGATTCCCGAACAATCTGTTTATGCAGGTGCAGAATGTTGCATACTACTACTAGTAATAGATAAATGGTGATGGTCATTTTGTGCACGTTAAGGGTTGTGGTACTCAAATTTCGCATATCTCCTACGCTTTACAACAGTATCGCATAACTGAAAGGAGTCCACTATTTGTAGTATAGTAAACTTGAGCCTTAATCGACAGTTGAATACTATACCCTTTCAGTAAAAGCCGGATAAATTCAGCAGTGTGGCCAAAGTAGCCAAACAATTCATTCTATACATATTTTCTAACCAATCATGAAGTAGCGATTTACACTTTAATGAATCCGTGAATCATCACTTGGAGAGAGAGGGTGAACATCTTCAACGGATATTATTTAGTATCAATATCTCATTCCAATTCACAGTCTTTAACAAAGAAATTTGCTTAGATGACACTCCTCATTGGAGATTCTACCATTACATAACTAACAAAGTGGAACATCAACTTAAAGTCAAGAAATGCAATTAGTATTGATCTACGGAGACTTTTAGTATTCGATGGAGATTGATGTCTTGTTGATGCAAAAAAATGCAACGAGTGTCTCTGGTGACTGTTGTAGTATTTGATGGGGAGTGAATGTCTGATAGACACATTCATGTCCAATATGGAAGGCAGCTAGATATCTTGGGTTTCTTCCACCTTATATTCTGTCAGGTGTCGTGTGATTACACACACACACACTTTGAGATTCGTCGTCAAGCTAACTCTTTACTTCCTCTTTTTTAACCTGGAGAAATCGTTCATCATTAAAACGCCTCAGGGAAAATTATGTCTGACTATCAAACGCGAAGTAAAATTGTAGCCAACTTTGCTAATAATCATTTTCCATCATCCTTTGCTAACGCTTGACATAACCTACCATATCTTACTGTGTCCCATATGAAGTTGCTTATAACTTTCCAGGCCTCTTTTTCCATTCTGAGTCTTTCATCGATGCTCCCCTCATGTTGAAATTGAGTAGTTTGTCAGCTAAAATGTATTTAACGGTCAGTCTCCCATTTCTACTAAAAGGTAGTCGTTTTAATCAGTCTGCTCTCCTCGTCTTTTTGCTTACATGGTTCATCACTGACAGGATAGTCTTGTTGTGCATATTCTGACCGTTGAATAATCATAACTAAACTTGCGGTTCCCCCAAAACTTTCAGTCGATTATTCTTTCTCTTTTGATATCAGTCAAGATTGTTTTCTTATCATGAAAAATACCCATTTATTCATACGTAAAAACACAGTTTTTTTTGTTCAGCGAAGAAATTCCTTTTCAATGACTTCATTTTCAAGCTGCACAGTCGTATTTATATTACAGAAAAGTGGCACCAAATAACTGCTCAGTCAATATACATATATAAGTGATAAGAATGACGATAATTAAAATGTTAAATGGGGGTAGAGTTGAAGTGGATGGATTACAAAATTATGAAAGATTGTTTTATAAATGAATTGATACCAAAAATATTTTTAAAAGAAAAATGTCAAGCGCTGTCTAAAAATTTTAAAAAATTAGGAGTATGATTACGATAAGAATGAAGATGTGAAGTGAAGTGGAAAGAATTCAAGTGGTAAAATAAAATAAAACGAAAACTAGAAAGAACATTGCTATTGTGGTGAGAGCAGGCTGCTAGCCGATTGGTTGGCATAATCTACGTTAAGGTCTAGGTCACTAATATGGGCCGTGAGAAAATATGAACAAGCCTGAGTCAACAACCAATCACAGCAAAGTTAACGTGGCAGAATATGATTCGCAGAGAGAACTCTATTTGTCAAGGAATCCCGAAACAACCAATCAGAAGCCTGCGTTTGTCTACCTAAACAACCAATCAGATGACTGCGCTTGTCTATAATAATGTAGTTGAAAGATGTATAAATACGTGTTGATTTTCATAATAAAACGATCTGTTGCCTGGCCCTTGTCTTCTGTTGTTACATTTGGTGTCGCTGCCTACCGACAAATGGAAAGCCTATGCCCTGCTGTTTGTGATGGAGACATATGGATCTTCGGGCAGGACTTCAAGGCTTCTGCGCAGTTGAGTGGCGTTCAAGATTTGTCAGCGATGGAGCTGCTACTTGGGACGCTGCTGGGAGGTCGGGTGAAAGCAGCATATGAAAGGGTGAGACGAAATACCGACGAATGTTCGACAGGGTCAGGCAAACAGTTTCCAAAGTGGGAAGGACCACATATGGTCACTTCGAGATGGGATTACGCGGACACAATCGCAATGACGAACAATGAGAGGCGCGTGAACGTCAGCGAGCTCCAGAAATGGATACAGCGAGACAAGCCAACGATGACGCCTGCACCAAGTAGATCAAGCCGACTTCAGTCGCACGTATTTGACGGGGGGACGAGTGTGGTGAGAGCAGGCTGCTAGCCGATTGGTTGGCACTAATCTACGTTAAGGTCTAGGTCACTAATATGGGCCGTGAGAAAATATGAACAAGCCTGAGTAAACAACCAATCAGAAGCCTGCGTTTGTCTACCTAAACAACCAATCAGATGACTGCGCTTGTCTATAATAATGTAGTTGAAAGATGTATAAATACGTGTTGATTTTCATAATAAAACGATCTGTTGCCTGGCCCTTGTCTTCTGTTGTTACACTGATCAAGGTAAAGAAAGGGGTTTGATAAAACGTTTTTGAACACATAATTTAGGTTTCTGTTCATGTATAGCTAAAGCTTCGGCTATGCATAAGTGAAGAAAACGTAAACTTTTGGATCGATTCGATTTCTCCATGTAGATAACTTTGGAATATGAATCACATGGGGCTGAATGACCAGACTCTAACAGGTGATCACAAATAGACGACTTCGCAGTTCTACGTTCGCCTTTCATTAACCAAACCGGATAGTGTTCAGCTACACGTTTTCGAAGAGTACGCTTACAACGTCCAATATAATCAGCTCCATAGGAGCAGGTAAAAGAGTAAATGCACATATTTTTTTATGGTATCAATTCACTTGTAAAACAATCTTTAATAATTTTGTAAATTCTACGCCCTATAACATTTTAATTATCGTTATTGTTATTATTTATATATGTATATTGACTGAACAATTATTTAGTGCCACTTAATAACCTTTTTCTGTAATATAAATACGAATGTACAGCTTGAAAATGAAGTCGTTGACACGGAATTTCGTCGATGAACAAAAAAACTGTGTTTTCTTATCGTTGATAAATTAATTTTTTTATAAAAGATCTCAGCATCGGATTATCTTTTTGACCTTTAGTCAATTAACTTGTGCATACATTTCTTACGTGTTTACGATCTGCCTATTTGACAAAAATAACTAGGATCAAAGTGTGAAATAAACTGTTTCTATTTTCAAAAGCAAACATTGATCATCATTTATCTTGAATATATTATTGAACATTGAATGGTTATTTAAATGAGTTCTGTTTTTCTTGTGTGTGCGCGCGCATGTTTTGATTTGAACTTTGTTTTACCCATTCTTATTGAATTTTTAGAATATCTAGATAATTTGGGCGATGAATCAACCGGGACAAGTTTGTCTGATAAAACGAGAGTCACAGGTCTTTTGCAAAATTTTAAAGAAATGTTACGATGAAGATAATGGTGTTTGTGTGTGTGTGTGTGTATGTATCGCTTGTATGTGATCAGTGTATTATTACTACTCCTGTTTGTAGTAGTAGTAGTAGTGTAGTGTTCATCTTTCGTTATATACTACTTAAATGCATTGATCAATAATATGTTGTGTATAATATATACATTTACTAATGATGTTTTCTTTTACGTCAACATGATGATAACTAAGAAATCTTGTGTGTTACCTTATTGTAAATATATGCCTACCTTAATAAAAGATTTCTATGGTTTGTCGACTATTATTACTAATATATTCAAGTATTGGTTTTGTAGGAATTTAGTTTGATTGGTTGAAGGAGTTCATTATGAGCTGATATCGGTTAGAGGACCATTGGAAAACCACTTGGGAGTACTGGACAACCAACTGTTTCGTCCGTCTAGTTTGGGACTCTTCATCAGTACGCACCCACCGTCGAAGTTCGACCTGTGACCTTCTGTGCAGCAGTTCGAGTCGCCACACTCTATGTAGCACACAAGCAAGAGTAAAAAGTCGAAGAAATGCATAATAGAGACAGTAAACAGAGGTGTGAGACAAAGGAATAGTAATAACGAAGAACAAACAGTTTAATTGGAAATCATGAGTCACAAGGAGTGGATGCATCTGGGCCAGCCATTGAGAACGATTTTGAGCCATATCACCAATTGTCTCCAGACATTGGTTTTTACCGTCCCGAGGACCTCAACCAGTCAGGAAGTCTACACCTTCCTACGTGGCTTAAACTAACTGTTGTGGATTTCATTGACTGATGAGGCCATGTTTTGTTTTAACCTCCGCTAGTTGTTTTCCAGCTTGACCCTATATCAGCTAACATTGCCCGTCGAGAAAGGCAACGGGCATACGTAACGCTTTGACCTTCAGGTTACAAGGCAAGCTAGCCCGTAGATGATTAAGCTACTGGGACCCGATCCAAATGGCTCATGAATTCTAACTTCTGCTAATGTTCTTTTTGAATATATTTCATTGTATATAGTAATTAAATGAAAGCGCATTATACGTCAGCTGTCAGTGAATTACGTCTGTTGTCTCACTTTTCAATATCATTATACCAGTTCAAGTGAATGAGAATAGATTATTAATTGACATGATACTTTTAGAATTTAGAAGTGGATAACTTCGGTGCTGTGAGTGTTTGGAGGAGGCATCAGGATGAGGTTAAACTAAATATAGCCATGATCAAGAGACCTGCCAAAAGTTGATCTTCAAACTCAATAAGATTTAAGGAAGGTTATTCCAAACCAAGTTAATGCTTACCCTTACGGAATTTGATGGAGATGGGTAGGTACAGTAATTCTACTTATTGCCTAGGTGCTTTTTCCTGTAGATCTATGCTCTCCGTTAGGGCTTTTGGGTCCAGGTCAAGATTAAAGAATAGAGTCAATGAATCTCGAAGTAAGTAAGTAACCATGATCTACAGTTACCTAGGTGAATACATTTATCGCGCATGTTATAATTTCTCCATGAGTTATTCTGGGATTCATTAATACAATGCTCGAGAAACACAATTACTCATTAGTTTAATATTGTGTTTGCAATGTTATTAGTACATTTTTTAACAATTATGTGACTTTATTTGTATCTGAATTCAAGGTCACTATGACTTTAGCTATGATAGTTGAACTTTGCTGACATAAATTCCTTCAAGGTTGCTTGTATCGTCTTGCTGACGAAGCCAATAAGCTCGAAATCTCAGTCTAGAACTTCTTATCGCTTGCCTTTGGTCAACTAAAATCAATCAAAAAGGGCATCTCGGTTGGGGACTATATTGCAAGCTTGGCCGACAGAATTCAATCTTCAACACAAAGGACTAGATTCACTGGTTTACGCAGGTTTCAATCACCTTGGAAATTAGGAACAAGGCTTCCTGCCGATTACATCCCACAAACTACTGTTGTTATTATTATTACTATTCTCTTGGGTTTCGAGTGGAACATAAGGCTTCAATAGCATGTCTCTACTTTACCCTGCTTTCTTCAGTCCCCTGTAGCTGGCTCCGCGATCGCTCGTAGTCTCTCATCTCCTCCTCTCACGATCTACTCCATATCACCCTCGGACGCCCCACTCGTCGTTTCCCATATGGATTCAATTCGAGGTTATGTCGGGGGCGGTGTTATTCGACGGCCTCCTCAGCGTCTGCCCAGTCTATATCTTCGGCGTATTTGTTGAGTAATAGGTTCTCGATTGGTTCGTTCCTGGAGTTTCTTGTTGCCAGCTCTTCCTGGCCACTTGATCTTCAAAATAGAGTCAGCGAAGTGGGCAGCTGTTGATAAAAGTTTGCAGTGGCCTATTCGGATGCTTTTCGTGATGCGAACGCCGAGTTTCTGACCAACACAGAAAAGTTGACTGACTCAACATTTGTGTTGAAAATCCTAATTTTTGTTGTTTATGCTGAGTGCAGAAAATTTGCACGCTAATTCCAATTTTGGTTTTGAAGTTCACATCAGTGCTGTCTGCCTGTTATTGGAACAATGCTGCCTTACAGGATGATAAGTGATGGAAGTGACCTCCTTCAAATTTATCCAATTATAATAGTAAATGGTGCTTGTTGTTGTTTGGTTGGTTTTCTTTATAACCTCAGTCTTCTCTATGTTCACTTGAAGTCTTGTTCTCTCTGCTTCTTCAGTCAGTTTTTTTGGTTTTCACCGGTAATTCTTCGAGTTCGTTAGACATAAGACACAGAACACTTAGCTCGTGTTCTGTGCGATAAAGAAAGCATCAGGAGTGATACCTATAACTTATTAAATAGTCAGTAGAACAACTGGATCTCGTCTTTCCAACTCATATCATTTATAGGTACAACGTTTTTCTTTCTTTCTTTTCCTTTTTTCTCTCTCTTTTCTTTTTTTGTTATGTGCTGTTTTGTTTCTTTCTTCTCTGCAAACTCTAATTAAAACATTTTTCTTCGTTCTCTCACACTCTGTATATCTCGACATTTTTTGTTAGCGCTTACGCCAGTAAATATGCTAGTAGTATCTACTTTTCTAACACCTTCAAACATTCTGTTCTCTTTTGGCTTTGCTACCGATATGCTAATATGTTGTTGTCAAAACTAACTGAGACTACCCATAATCTATGTAGAATTTTGTTTATTGTTAATGTACTAACTGGATGCGATACTGTAGTGAAATGCTGAGAATTCCATTCTGTATCGCAAGTACTGTTTTGGAATAAAGCAAATTATTATTATTATTAAATCTTGAGCGAAGCCCAGATCTAGAGGCTTCTTATTGGTCCAACGTATTCCTGTCTTCTCGCTTCCGATGCACAGTCTTCCGCATAATCCCAACCCACCACAATTGGGAATATTGTCAGTGATAATAGGCAGCCTTGTACAACTCCTGCCTTGCTGAATCTTCTGTTGTGTGTCACCTATTTCCCACAAATTATCTAGCATTAATTCAAATGGTGTATCACGATTCGGGAGTCACCTACCATGATGGTCATGTTGGAAATTTAAGTGGCAGAATTCATTCCATACAACTGGTTCCCTTGATAAATTTCGATAAAGAAAGGAAGGCGAAATTTGCAGTATAAAATGATATCATTGTTCTATTTGACAGGTTCTCATCAGCTGCAGACCACCTGAAATTACAATGGTTATATAAATGATAATATACTTTAATGTTTGAGTGGTAGTAGAGAAAAGATACTATAAAACTGACGCATTCAAAATGAAAGTATTACTATGTTTAGTTTAAGTTTTCATCATCAATTTTTGCGCTTTTAAAGTTGAAAAGAGAGGGAGAGGTAAGACAGAAAAAAAATTAATTAATAGAACAGTGTTAGCTTGTAGGTTCATATAGCAACTCCAAAAAACAAAGGCGGTTACAGTTTATGAGATTAAGATTTGTTCAGTGAGTTGAGATCACTGAGTTGGATGACTAATTAATGTAATCAAAATTCAGTTAACAAGGGAGTGAGAGGTTAATCCTACTGTCTTTCTGTATGCATAAGTCTGGTTTAAATCGTTTGATTGCGATCGCTTCGGTAAATCGTAGCAAATTTGCTGTCCTTTCTCTATTTGATATTTTGAAGGACTTAGAAATCTCTACGAGATGTCCGGTATCAACAATGTTTCTGGTAATTGCGCTCTGAGAATATTTGCTTCCATTCAGACATAGGTTTCTTGGAATATGTTTAGAAAACCGGATGGAAGCCCTTCTTTCTGTGCTTTCAATGTATTTGCTCCAGCAAGTGTACGTGAATTCATTAACTCAGTTGGAGCTGACATCAGCAGGGTATTTATCCAGTTTTGAGTGGATTAAAGAAGGAGTGGTGCTGTATACTTTTATGAGTTTTCCTACTGGGTAGCTTCTATTTATTGCAGAATTCAGTTCGTTTCAAATCTAAGGCGTAGACACCACATCATAGCAGCGGTTACTCTCTAGTGCGACTGGTCAAGATCAACTGATACAATTTTACAACCTCACATGATCGCTACTACTGATACAACCCCCCACCCCGTGGTGTCGTCGTCTTCCTGCTGTTAATGGATTGTATGTTAACTAGCTTTAAATCCAAGCTAAACATTTACCGAAAAATTACACCATTCACGTGGTTCAGCGGTAGAATGCCCGCCAACTATGCACTTAGTCCGGTGTTCAACTCTCCGTCAGCGTGTGGTGAGAGCTGGCTGTTAGTCAAAATTGGTAGACAGTAATTTACGTCAATGTTCATGTGCCCAGCATTGATCGTGAGAAAAATGAGAAGAAAGGCTTTGCGTAAGCGGATACAGTTAGCATACAGATGATCTGATATTCAATAAACAGCCAATCAGAAGACTGTGTTTTTCTGCTAACAATAATCTATAATAATGTACATGGAAATATATAAATATGTGTTGATTTCCTTAATAATAAACGATCTCTTGCCTGACTCTTGCCTTCTGTCTTTACAATCGCACACCGTTACTTCTCTTTCACCGGTTGTAATCCCTCGATAAACAAGGAAGGTTGTTTGTGAAGCTATAACAACCTTGCCCCCGTTAAATAAGACCTCATTGCTACTGAGACTTCAAACCTCCACTGGAGAAACACACAAAAGAAGAAAAACACCATCTCTCTTGTAATCAGTTTAGTATACTATTAAAAATTAAACACAACAATTTTCTAACTAGTTTAATCATTAACAGAGTAATTACAGTAATACTTAAATAATAAGAACATAATAAAATCCATGAAAGTATTTGATTCATAATTTTTAAATAGCTTAATAATTGTTTAAAAAGATTTAAATAATTGATCCAATCATCAAAATTATCGTTATCATCACCATCATTTGAGGGTAGTAGTGTCTTTTTGTTTCCCCATGAATAGGCGAAATTTCCAGTGTCTGATGAATCTTGTGTCTTCGCGATAGTGTTAAGTAGCTCTAAGAGTATAGATCCATCAATACCGGGTGCTGTCTTCTTCATATTGTTATGATTATTATGATTGTTTAATCTGCCTTCGATTAGGTGTATTAATAAGGTTGAATAGAGGATAGCGCTACTGAGGATTTGGAACATTGTGGTGTGGTACATGCGTGTGATGCTATGAGTTGTATATTTAGACTTGAATCTCTGTAGGTAGTCTGATATTTACTCTATTAGAGTGTCAATAAATCCTTTACTGACTAATAATAATAATTATGATGATGATAACAATGGTCAACTTTAATCTCAGTGTATTGATTTTCTCTTGTTTTCAAAGTCAAATGGCTGCATGTGTGTACGCGTGTGTGTTTGTGTGTCTTTATAAAGATGTATGTAGGCGTGTAATATATACAAGCATATAGATTGATTTGTAGTATAGTATGCTTGGAGTTGCGTTTCTCTTTTTTCTTTTATGTGTAGTATATCTTTCTTTCAACCAACAGCTGCAGTGAAACAGAAAACATAACTCAAGCACAAATCACTAAGTGCAAATCAACCTTTGTTGTTGTTATTATTTTTGTTTTAATTTATCAATGGTTTTGATTATCTGGTAGAGGGAAAATGGAGGTTTATTCAATATATATATATATATATATATATATATATATATATATAGTTTTAAATAGTAAATGAAAGAATACTGTTGATATTTATACGATAATAGGAGTAGTAGTAGCACAAAAAGTGTAGATATGTGGTTCCTGAAAATCCCCATTGAGTCATATGAAAAACAGAAGACGTTCAGCGAAGAGACTCTTTTCGGCGAATTCATTCACATAGCTGTACAATCGCATTTATATATAATTATTTGTGTATGTGTGTGCACATTGGGTTTGTCAAAATTAGATAATTGATCAGGTAATAAAAGAATGATCTAATATAGAAACAAGGTTAGCCAGACAGCAACTAATTAAGATTGAGTTAGTAAGTTAGATGATGTAATACAATTGACTAAAATTTTTCAACCTTGATCAGGGTAACAACAGAGGTAATTACAGGTGGAGACTAAGTAGAAGTGGGGTAGATAATAATAATGCCACTTAAATTAGAACTGAAATTGAGCAAATAAGTTGAATGACGTAACATAAATGACTAGAAATTGAGCTTTGGTCAAGTCAGTTACAGTGGTAGTGAGGTGTAGAAATTAAATCGGGTGGGGTTTAGAGAACAAGAAAGTTAAAAATAACAATAAAGACCACTAAACCAAATAGCAGAGGTAATAGTACATCTGCTATGGTATTAAAACAAAATTTACCAAGGAAGGTTTAATGTGATGACAAATTGTTTTTGAACGCATAAAGGTGGCTTGAACTTTCTAATTGCTAGGGCTTCTACAAACTTTAGGATACTCCCCAAACACGTTTTATAGATAGGTTTAAAAGATCTGTTAACATCAATTTTGTGACCTGTCTCTATAATATGTTTCGCAATAGAAGAGCCAGGTCTCCTGTTCTCACCGTTAATAGGTTCTGAATATTCCGTTTGTTTCTGGAGCCATTTAGGAATATGCTCTGAAGCCCTTACTTGCAGAGATCGATGAGTCCTCCCTATGTATGTGTGTCCACACGTACATTCAAACTGGTAAATACTGTGGGATGTGACGTCATTTTTCGCATGTTCGCAGGGCTGAAAATGTAAAATATTACAATTGAGAAGACGAAATAATACTAATGAAGAGACAGAAAAAAAAGATTAGGTAGAATTTACTTGTCGGGTAATAAGATAGATTAAGTCCATTGCAAGTGTAGTGATTGAACGAACTTCTGTTTCTATATTAGATCATTCTTTAATTACTTGATCAGTTATCTAAACTTGACAAACCTCATGTACACACACACACACGAATAATTATATATAAATGCGATTGTACAGCTATGTGAATGAATTCGCCGAAAAGAGTCTCTTCGCTGAATGTCTTCTCTTTTTCATATGGGGTTCTCATTGGCTTAGTTTTAACTAAGCGCTTTAAATGCAATGAGAACCCCATATGAAAAAGAGAAGACATTCAGCGAAGAGACTCTTTTCGGCGAATATATATATATATATATATTGATAGAAGTAGAACGTTACTTTATTAGGATACTCATAATGTAATTTCTGACTGAAATCTGTCTATCATCAGAGTGTTGTCATTTTATTCAGGTAAGTAACACATTCCTGTGATGGTTCAATCTTATGTCCCGCGTTTTGAGTTGAGAAATCTATTCGACTTCAAGTTTCATATTGGTTAGTATTTATCAGAAGACTTGGGACATCAAAGTTGTACTACATTGAAGTGTCAATAGTCTTAGTGACATTCTATATTTATAAATTTTAACCCCCCCCCCCCGTCCATTTAAGTGAAGAAAATTAGATCTCAGTCAGGTTTAATTCGAAAATATACATAACTTTATGCATAAATATTTAATATAAACCAGTCATGGCGATTTGTCAATAGAATTGTGGAAATAAATTGTACAATTGGTCATAATAATAGTAATGATAATAATTTATTGAAAACCTACTTGGAAAGGACAATACTTACATTTTAATAGTTTTCGTCCAAATAGCTTTAAACGCGGACTGGTCAAGACCCTAAACTATGAAGCTAGGAGATTATGCTCTATAGAGAAATTAGAGGAAGAATTTTAGTTTCTCGAAAAGCAACGGTTACCCCTCAAAGGTTCATTAACAACTACGAAAGATCTGAAGCCTTAAATGTCAAGCGAATCACAGTGGAGAAAAAGCCCATCTACATTCAACTTGATTATAAAGGTGAAAACATTGCAGCAATGGTCAACAGAAGACAGAGCACGTTACTAACCAGACCCTATCCTGAAGCTAAGTTCGTTCACGTCATTCGAACAACTTGCTCTTTAGTACAGCCAAAAATCGATAGATATCCTTCTCATGTTAACTCCATTTGTATACACAAATTTACACGTATCTGCAGAAGCAGTTACATTGGAAGAACAGAAAGAAGTGCTTATCTACAATTTTCTGAACATGTACCGAAAAGCTTATGTTTAAAGGGCACAAATGCTCTAAACAGTGCCATCGCCAAGCATCTCATTGACACGGGTCACGAGGTGGACATCACAAGATTGTTCAAAATTATCAACAGACAAAAAGTATATCACACACAGAGTGAAACAGTATTATTTACTGGATGACGTTTCGAACACAAGTTATTGGCCATAATCATTTCATCAGTTATAATCACACGATTTCGAAACTTGAGTTTTATAGTTTTCAAATATTAGTTTTGTAGGGATTTTGTTTGATTGGTTGGAGGATTTCATCGTGAGTTGACATCCAGGAGTACTGGACAGTCAACTGTTTCGTCAGCCTAGTTTGGGACTCTTTATCAGTACGCACCTACCGTCGGGGTCGAAACCCAGGACCTTCTGCTTACAACTTTTTTTTGTTCTCTCCTAATTGTCGTCGTAGAGGCAGTAGAATTTTCCAGATATATTCAAGTGGACAGGTGTTCGATCATTCCTATTACATGTGTTTGCAATTGAATCGATAAATAAAGCTTCCATTATCAATCTCTCCCTCTCCACCTTGTTATATTAGATTTTAGAACTGCCATCTTATCCCATCATCCTATTATGTGGTTGTGTGTAGTTGTATGTAATGCTGTAGCTGAGCTGTATTTTAAATTTGTTATCCTATTAGGGTCAAATAATCTTGATTTCAGGATTTAATCATGAGCTGATGTCAGTTAGAGAACCATTGGAAAACCTGGGAGTACTGGACAGCTGTTTCGTCCTAGTTTGGGATTCTTCATCAGTACGCAGCCACCGGAATTTCGCTAGGCTTGTGTTCTCCGCTAGTATGACAGCTCCTGTACTACTACTTTGACCTACAATCATTGCATTAATATAATATGCTTCAATATAACACAAAACTAATTGCATATCAGATAAATTAAGGGAAGTAACACACACAGAATTTATGAATTTATAGAGGTTCGATAGTAGGCTAGGGTAGCAACAGTTGGCTGACAGGACCTGTTTCTTTTTCACACAGAGATCCGAATGATTTAAGCGATTTGTAATGGCCTCTGCTGCTTGCAGTGTTTGGTATCTATTGAGTATCTAATAAATAATCAAAAGCTTCCAGATGTTGAACGTTTCTAACAGTAGAGGCTATTGTGATTCGTTTAAATCAACCCGAGCTCTTTGTGCAAAAGAAACAGGTCCAACCGCTATTGCTACCCATCTGGCCTACTATCGAGCTTATAAATTCTGTGTGTTACTTGCCTTAATTTATCTGATATTCAATGAGTTTAGTATTATATTATAACGCCTATTATATCTTTATTACTGATGCTTTTGAAAATCAATATGTCGATAGTAATTATTGATTTAATCTAGTTTAAAATAACATTAATGTTGTTATTGACAGTATTTCTTTAATTATTAACTGTCATATAAATAAATTTAGAAGCTGATGACGAATTTATTTGAATATTTTTTGTTCATTCATCTCAGTTTTAAAAAAATTTGTTATGGGCATTTTCAATGAATTATTATCATTATTGTTCCCTTGGGTTCCTAGTGGAACATAGGGCTTCAACTCCACGTCTCCACTTGCTTCTGTCTTCCATCTGCTGTACTTTTCACCTGCATCCATGTTAGTCCATACTGTTTCAACTCCTCTTCACACGATCTCCTCCATGTCACCCTCACACCGACGACCCACTCACCGCTTCCCTTTTGGCCTGGTTCCACTCGAGCAATAACCTGACGCGCACGCGATGTCACCCAACATCCTCCTCAGCGAGTAGTGTCCTATCCATCTCCACTTTCTCCTGCATATTTGTTGGTTGGGGATTGCTTCTTGTTTTGTTTCTTCCCATAGTTTGGTTGGTTATTGGTGATTCTTTCCAGCCCGACCATCTGATCTTCAGTATAGAGCCAACGAAGACAGTTGTTGGTTGGTGAAGGTCTGCAACAGGCTGTTGGAAATATTCTTTGTGACCCGCCCACTAAGTTTCTGTCTGATCCGTATAGAAGAACTGACTGACTTGACATTGTTTGTATTGAAAATCCGACCGAATTTTGTTGTTGATGCTGAGTTGAGTGACGAAGATTTCCAGATTGGTT